TCACCATAGCACCGTCTGTTGACAGCACAACACAAGATGGAGATTAACTTATAAACTGGGGAGAAGCGTTTCTGAAATAACGGTGCTTTTAAGTTGTATACACAAACCATACTATAGTTGTGTTACAGCATGTAAAACATACAAATTATCAAAAGCTTTGGCAATAAGCACAAAAATGATAAATGAATGAATAACCCATGTCACATTTGTGTTATTTTAGAGTTCTCACAACTTAAGTTTTACTTAAATAACTACTGGGGAAAACAAGATCTAAATGGCTTATTCAAAAGTATTTTTGTTCAAACACCTGTATCTTGCTTTGTGCCTCATTTTTATGTAAAGTGAACAAAGTCTGAGCCAAGAATCTTAATCATACTTAATTCTGCACTATGGTATACTCAAATTTATAGCATTATTTATACATTAGCCCTTATCAAAACTGCAACATGACGACAGCATGAAGTTTCAAAGGTAGCACTTTTTTAATCATATTGTGAACTTTAAAGGTATTTTCGCACCTGTAGTTTGTTGGCTTTGGCAGAATCATAAACCAGTTTATGACACTGTTGACAAAAAGTTAACATGTATAATTCTTAAGATTTCAACCAATTGTTTTCAAATTACGATAAAACTAAATTTTACTCTGAGGCTGACACAGTAAATCAAGATAAAACCAGAGACTATAATTCAATGTAATATGAATGTATGAATCTTGTCACAGAAGCAGAGGACAACACATCAACTGGCATTAAGTTAACATAGCAACTACTGGATAATAGAAACCAGTTACAGTAGCAAACAACAGAGCAACCAACAGAGCAACAGCACTTTAAAATACAAGAGCAAGCCCAGTACACACCTGTAAAGTTCATAGTAGTTATTAAGGAGAAGAGTGGCTTTTCAGGTTCACATACAGTCTGTGGTAACTTATCAAGCACAACAACTCACTAGGTTTAACCTAAGGTGGCCATTAGCCTGGCTGGGCCATCCTGTTGCGTGAATCACGTGCCGTGGGAAGGAACGGCAAGTGATTCACGCAACAGGATGGCCCAGTCAGGCTAGGTGGCCATATCCACAACACAAAACTTTTTATCACAAAACAATTTATCTATCACATATCGTGATGTCTGCGTAGCAGAAGGGGAAAAACAATTTCTGAGAAGGCGAAAAAGTATTTGTTCACAGTATTTGTATTTATTCAATACATCTGTCTCGCAAAATGCAGTGCCATAAAGCAAAACATTTACAGCCTTACATGTGCAAATTAAATTTACATAAAAATAAATAAATAAATAAATGCAAATAAAATACACATTCTAGTTCTTAACATGTATATAAAACTAAGCAACAAAAGGACAGTGAGGGGAAAAAAACGTGTGGTCTTTTGACCGTTCGCCATGAAATCCGTATTTTCGGAATATTTAAATTCAGTTAACGACATGAGAGGCACAGGTAGCGCAAGAGAAACAGGAGACGACTCGTTAACATTTTCAACCAATGAGAAATCAGTGTGACGCCGCTTTTAGCAAATCATTTTTAACCAATCTTTTTTGAACCAATAGTCTTACACCATTGGACGATATGCAGCGCTGCGTTCAGGTACAACTCCAAAAAGAAGGACAAATAACTGCGCCGAAGCCTGACCTGGGGCCTGTTCTACGAAGCAGGTTCAACCTAGCGGGGTAGGCTTGGAGCTACCTCGCTCAACTTAGCGCGGTAGCCAGCGGTCTCGCTACACGGTTTTACGACGCTGGTTATCAACCTCATCAGTGGATCCAGCTCTGCTATGAGCGCGTGCACACATATAAGGCGGAGCCCGCCGCATCTGACCAATCGCGAACATGGATCAGTCTGGAGCGTCAGAGCAGGCTGGAGAGTGAAGGACCGCGGACTTTACAAACGAGGAACAGGAGACGATCATGAGAAAGTATGAAGAATTGAAAGCTATCATAAACCTCAAAAGCAACACCGTCGCCGCTACAAAAGCACGGAGGGAATGCTGGCAGAAAATTAATCTTTGATGTCATTATCACCCTGAAATAGCACTGTTCAACATGCGCTTTTAACTAAGGTGACAGTCCCCGAATTGGATGATCTGTCCCCGGCTGAAGCTGTCCCCGAAAATGTCCCTGATTTAAGCGTTTCATGAATGAGAACAAAAATGTTGCATGTGGGCAAGAACAACGGTTGTTACAGTGGGTAGGAAGCACAAGTAAGCAGTCCTGAACAACAGTATTTACGGGGTTATTATAAGGGGCGTGCGCTGCTACTAAATAGTACCGAGATGTTGTCTGTGATCGCGCAGCCCATGCCCATTCATTCCCAAGATGAATCATTCATTTGTTCATTCCTATCGTGTTTACATGTTTTGTGTAATATGTCGGCCATATGAGCCTTTCATAAAGGTGGTCATCCGGAGAAAACTCTCCCTGAAAACTCTCGCGAGCCGGAGTGCTCCTCCTCGGACAATGCGAGCACCGAGGTCTACAGGATCCTCCGAGAACGGACAAGCCGTTTTTCGAGAGAGCTCATTGGTCAGTGGGCGGGGTTTTTATACTCGGTGAGTTCAATCTGGAACTTAACCTGCCCCGGAGCAGTTTAGCCGTTCAGCGTATGTTGCTATGGAGACTCGCCTCGCTAAGAGGTGAACCCGCGTCGTAGAACAGGAAACCCCGAACTTATCCTCAAAGTTACCTCGCTAAGCAGTAATCCTGCTTCGTAGAACAGGCCCCAGGTCTTTAAATTAAATTCGGCCTAAATCCGGACATACTGCCACCCAAGTTTAGCCAGATCGTATTGTGATAAGCTACCCGGGTAAAGTTAAAGTTAACGTTCACGTTACCCGGCTAGCATGAGGAGTTTTACTCAGCAGTAAAGTGTGGTGCCCATAAGCAAACGGCAAACCAAAATGTGTCATTTATAAATAGGAGGTATTGAGAAATAAGAAAGTTAAAACAGACTTACCTACAAGAGTCAGGTCAGGTAAATTGACGGCTAGCACCAGGTGAGTCGATCCGCGCGGCAGAGAAACACCCGCCATATTGAGCATATCCGGACATGCGCAGAGGTGGTCATTACCGACCAACAGACGGAAGTTCATTTCAAAGAAAATTATTTTTTCTTACCATTGAAAATCTCCGTATTTTTGAAGATATAAAATACTCGAGAAAAGTAGACTGAAAGTTCTATAGAGCCTAAAAAATATATGTGTATGTTGAAATTTGTTGATGTTATCCATGACATTCAAGGGCGAGCCAAAAAGTATCTTCAAGGTTTATTAGATTGTGAGTTTATGATGAAGATATAAAGTCAGTTGTAAGATATGAGGAAAGATATTTATCCAATCCGTCATATTACATATAAAGGTTGTTTCATATCTGGTTCACAGGTTAAATTTATTAGAATCATCATAGTGGGACTGGGAGTGAAACAGTAAAAATTATCTTGGTGACTAAAAAGATACAGGCTGCATGATAAAAGTAGCCAAACAGGTGAGATGACATAAACGGTATGAAATTTCACCACTGTTTTTCATACTGGCACTCTGCTGACCCGGCTACACTATTCAGCAGGTGAGTGTTTTTATTTTTGGCCAGCAGAGGGCGCCAGCATCCAAACAGCTGGCCTCACTCCAGACCCTGAAGGATGGTGAGAACAGCAGAAGGTGACTTGAGAAACAATACAGAATTAATCTGTCAATCCTTTACCTCAAGGAAGGCCCATTTTTAGACAATAAAATAAAAAGAAAGATTAAGCAAACAGTAACAATTAAAAATGAAAAAAATAATTCTAACAAGGCCAGGTGCTTGAGCACTCTTAGCTCCCCTCTCTGCATGAACCAGCCCTGTGGCTGCTCAACATTATCTATAATTCTACAACAGCCCGTCTGCTACACTACAAGCAGTCACCATTGACCACCTACCTCCATTCTTCTATTAGAAAAGGTCAAACACAAAACAAACCAACAGGAGGCATTTTTAGATTTTTAAACTGAAGGCTACTCAACATCTAGACCTAAACAGGGGTCTGGATATTGCTATGATTTTGTGAAGGGTTGTTGATCTTGTATTTAATGGATTAGTTTACAGTGAAACCTATTGTTTACAAGCGTAAACGTGTGATTTGTACCAATGAGAAGAAAGCAGGTTGCCCAACAGAGAACTAAAATGTCAATTTGAAAAATCTGACAAAATACAAGAACATCATAGCTTGAAATTTTTCATAATTTACAAAAAAATTGTAGCTGGAAAAATGTTTAACTCAGTAAAATATTCCCAAAGGATTTATTAAGGACTTACATTTATTTTAATTTAAAATTAAAACTGCCATTTATATCTTTGTTTTTAAAATCTGTAAATTCATTTTTATTTTTTTATTTTTATTATTATTATTTGTCAATGTACCTTGGTTGAGCGGCAAGATAAATACAGGTATTGTTTACTGCTATGCAACAGCATTTCCTACTACTAAAAACATGTCAGTTTACTATATAACGATAGATAGATAGATAGATAGATAGATAGATAGATAGATAGATAGATAGATAGATAGATAGATAGATAGATAGATAGATAGATAGATAGATAGATAGATAGATAGATAGATAGATGGTTTACAGGGATGGGGTTTGATTCCCTTGATGTCCAACTGATATAAAACATGAAGGTTTTTATCTATGTATTTATTCTAAATTTAAACACTTGAACTAAATTTCTGGGATTTTGATGGATAGATTTTGAAATACCTTTGAACAACACTGAGTTACAATGACTGGGGAAACAAGTACAGAAGTACTCCAAGTTTCTGCTTCACATAACCTCAGATACAGCTCTGATTACTTCACCCTTCTGTTTTTCTTGTTCTTGACCTCCAGGGGGCGCTTGTTCCTTGTTTTCAGAAGAAAGCAGAGGGATAGTGGGCTGAATACAGAGCCCCCAAGTTTCCCCTCTCTTCGTAGGAGGGCAGTAGAGGTCTATTATCAGACTATAAGGGCGTGTCCTGAACAACACCAATGACGCCGTGGTGAGTGCCCAAGAATACCAGAGTCTCTCAGCGAAAACACTGTGAAATGACCAACAGATGTGACCACAGTGTGATTTTATTTACCTCATTGATAGGGTATTGATTTACCCACGACTGTTTACCACAATGCCTGCAATCCGAAGCCTGACGATGACCATCGACGCTCTGAACGAGTACGAGACGTTTTCGGAGCGAGATACAATCACAGGAAAAGTAACGCTGGTCTTGATAAAGGAGACCACAGTTGAGACTTTGTTCATTAAAGCCAAAGGGGACGCTGAGGTGCGTTGGACAAAAAAGCATGGCGATCGGACTCATACATACTCTGCACACAAGCGATATTTCAAACTGAAGGACTTTTTAATTCCAGAGCAACCAAAGGGTAGGCGGTCCATGTCTTGTTAGCCATGCATGCCTTAACCTCTTTACGTGAAACTAACACAGTGTGTGCCCTTTTTCCCCTGTGTGGATTATGCTGGGATTTGGTCAGAAATGTCACAAGACTAGTAGGGAAGAGTGGGGTTAGATGAGTCATTTTTCATATCACTACATCAAGGAAATCATATTTTTTTCTGTAACTAGTGTATCTGCATATATTTTACGATGTTGTTCATCCCTGCAAACTAACAGAATAAGTGTAAACATAACTGCCTTGATAATATAGCATGCCAAAAAAGTGGTATAATATGGTCAACTTACCAGTCTACTACCCCCCACTCTCCACCCCAGCCCCCCCTCACCTTCTCTCTCCCTAAATAACAGTCACTTCTTCACATTCATGTGTATTTTTTATCTATAATACACTATTCAGCTGATACAATTACTCTTTTTATTGTTATTATTGCATGTTACTGCTAAAAAGCTGATTTGTAAAAAGCCATTCTAACATGAGAATATCTTTAAGTGATTCAGAACATTCACAGCTGTAGTTTTGAAAAGAAAAAGTAAAACATTTCAACAATCTGAACTGAAACTCTGATCCTCTCATCAGACTTCTTTACTTTCTCACTTGAGCCGCTGGCTAAACTTACCCCTGTACTACTTTATTAGTCCTCTAAGCTTAAATGGTGGACTTTTATGTTAGCTTTTTGACCTCATGTTGTAGCTCATAGATACCACAATTGATGAATAAAACACATTTAAAATGATCTTTTTTGGTCTGAACACAATTCTGATAAAACTTATTACAGACTAAATTCACTCTCAAGAGTGAAAAATGTTTTTTTTGGAAAAAATGTCTAACCCCTTCACCCATGTGCTTCTAACCTTCACAGACTCCATGAATAGTTGCTCATCTCCTAAATATTTGGTCACATGATCAATTTTCTTTTATCATTTCCAAGAAACAGGGGGTGGCTCAACTTACCCTTTGGCTCAACTTACCCCACTCTCCCCTATATAATCTTTATATAGTGTGTGAAAGCATTCTTGACTGAAACAACAGTGCTAGCCCCCAAAACAAGAAGTTAAATCCCTCATGACTGATTGTGCAAAGTTGCTTCGTCTTTTCTTAAAACAAGTGTTTTTTTTCTTTTTCTTTCTGTCTGCTCTGGGATAGGTGCTTTTTCCATCAATGCACGACTAATTTAGACAAGCAGTCTTATAGTAAACACAAGGTTATTAAAGTTAACACTAACATTGTTTTTCCTTCCAGATACTGTCCTTCTTTCGGGAACCCATGTCTATAAATTCAACTTTCACATACCGCCAGGGTAAGTTCACAAACACATCGAATATTAACACTCTCACAAAGAATTTGGTGAAAAATTACCAATCTGCTCTTGCCCCAACTAAAAACGGATGTTATTACAATTCAGATATCGAGATGTATGAAAGCCAGAAATAAAAACTATTGTATTTTTCTTCTATTTAGGAGCTTTCCATCGTCATTCTGGGGGACTCATGGGAAGATTGTCTACAAGCTGGAGGTCAATTTGTCCAGGAGTTGGAGGATGGACCGCACAGTTGAAAAAGAGATCCGCTTTGTGTCCAAGTCCTTTCCAAACCCTCAGTCTCTGATGGTGTGTATAACATCGATTTATTTCAAGTTGTATGACAGATACCAGGGCCCTTGTGTTGTTGCAGAGTGTCTGCAGTCCTTTTCTTGGATGCAGCAACAAGAATTATCAAAGCAGGAAAATCTGAGCAATACTCTCTTGACACAAACCACATTTTAGTGGCTCTTTTTAGCCACACAATGGTTTTGCTGTGATTAGCCGGGGAGAAGATATATTGCTCTGCATCCTGTCTATTGAGGAGATAGGATTGAGGACAAGATAGGATGGAAATGAGAGTATGTCTTAGCGGAAGACATGTTTCAAATTTATTTTAGGGACAAGGTTGGCTGGAATTATCAATGATAACAGCTGGATTTCCTTTGGGTGTCAACTTCTTGAAAAAACATGAGGAACTTGTGCTGTGATGAAGAAACCAACTCACTCTTACATCCTACCAGTAAATTACATAACCTGCCAGGGTGTAGCGAGGCGCACACAGACTAAGTTCTTATCTTTTTCTTGTTGGCTGAAACAGAGTCCAAGAAACAGTCCAAGCTAATCACAGCTTGTTATTATACATGTTGATGGTGCATGTGTTATTGACCTACAAACGAAACACCAAAATAGATGTGCATGTTGCCCCTCCTACAGTTCAAAGGGATCATCCATCCATCCATCCATCCATCGTTTATCTATATTTATTGTCTACATTCCTATTCAGGGTTGCAGGGCCTGGAGCCAATCAGGATATACCCTGGTCAGGTTGCCAGCCTGTTATAGGGCGAACATATAGACAGATATCTGGAGAGCCTAGTGCTCCTACCAGTATCATACAACAGCTTCAGTTGAATGATACTGCGTCACTTGAAATGATCATTTATGCTAATTTGTTGGCAATAAAAAAATTCAATAAAATGAAAAACATGAGGGGAACCCTTCAGACTACTCTCACACAAATGTTACACAACATGCAGTTGTATTAGAATATGTATTTTTGCAGACTATCCTTCTGCAATAGAGAAAGCACCCTACACTTGCATACTGTACCACTGCCAACTGAAACATAGATAAGACCCCACTCTAAATTTTACTTAATTATAGGAAGTTCTGGTCTTAAGGAGATGAGTTTATCTGTCACACTTACATCCTGCACAGCTTTCTTATAATAATGGTGTTGAATCTTGAGTAATTCTTTCTGCATTTATTCAATTTCAGCTGCAGCAAGTGGGTTCAACAAAAAAAGAGATGGGGCTTTTCTCAAAAGGAAGTGTGCACATGGAGGCCACGGTTGACAAGAAGGCTTATGCTCCAGGTAGGAAGACCTATCGTCATGCATGGCAGGTTTAAGTAGACAAGAAATAGGCCTAGTTTGATCAGAATTATTGTAACGTTTTGAGAGTTCTGCATCCTTAAGTATACTGCATTTTTGCTTGAAAATAAATGACGATTAATCTAAGGTGTTTTGTTGTTTTCTTCATAGGTGAAACAATAATAGCTGTTGCAAAAATCAACAACACCTCATCAAGTGAGATGACACCCAAATTCAGTTTAATTCAAGATGTTGTGTATCGTGCCAGTGGAAGTACCAAACATGAAAGCAGCGTTATTCTGAAAATGCATGACAGCTCTGTTAAAGCCCAAACCCAGAAGCAGGTGAAGTGCGCCATGAAGCTTCCACCAGAAATGACGCAGACGATCCAGAACTGTGAAATCATATCAGTGGAATACCGCCTGAAGGTATGCAAAGATTTTACGTTCTCTTCATCCAAAATCCTGATCAGCTCAGTCTGATGGCAGAGCATTTTGTCTGAGTTGATATGTACATTGAAAGAGATTGTACAAATGTGTCTGTCTGAAATGTTCTTAAGCTGTTCTTAAGATCTTGCTAATAAGGCGGTCATATTTTTACAGGTGTACCTCGACATCAGTTTTGCTTTTGACCCAGAGATCGTGTTCCCTGTGGTCATATGTCCTTCAAGCTTAGCGTCTGTATTTCATCCTGGTGTTGCTGCACAGACCTCTCCAGCGGGGGCTGTTGGGGGTCCAAGCAACAGCGACTTCCCTCCCCAGGCAGTGCCTATGGGTCCTTACCCTCCATCTCCAAGATCAGGTGGTTATGGATACCCAGGAGCCGCATGGTATTCACCATCACCTGTGTCCCCAAACTACCCTCCAACAAGTGCGTACCCTGATCAACCAGCTTACATGAGTGGGGGCTACAATAACCTGCAGCCACGGCAGGGTTCTCCTTATGGATCTCCATTTTCATCAGCATCATCGTCAACACTTCACCCTCCACCGTCTGCTCCAGCGTTTTCTCTAACTCCTAGTGCTCCGGAGCTCCAACCCCCTGCCCCAATTGCCCCAAATGCCCCATCCCCTACCCCAAATTTTAACGTATCCCCAACAGCTCCTGCATACAACTCGCTGCCTTCTGCGCTGATGATGAACACAGACTTTCTGTCCCAGTCTGATGAGGCTCCTCCAGCATATTCAGTCCTTTTTCCGTCTTCTGTTAATGAACAATCAGATGGACAATAATCTGATTTATCCCAAATTACTACATTTGGTTTGATTATCATTAAGTTAAATCCTTTAAGGTAGCCAAGGCCAATCAGGAAAAATTATAAGCTTCGGTACACAAAACCAAAACATGGCTTAAGATTTGTCAAAGTAATCAGACTAAACTTTTTGGACACAGTGTTTATCAGAGACTTAATACTACATCCATTTTACATTTACTCACAACCCTAACTACTAATGCAAGATATATAACCACATTTATAAAAGGAACACTGCGTAAACTGTTTGTGAATCAATTTAACCTTGTATTAAATTAAAGGTGCTGCAAAGAAAACATCAAATGTTGAAGCTGAAAAATTAAATTAATTCTTCTGTCAGGAATGAAAATGTTGGGATAGTGACACCTGACACCAAAACTCTGAAAAAGCTTTGTAATGCAAAAAAAAAGAAAAAACAAAACCCTGCTGGAACAGCTCCCAACTAATTCAGATTGTAGCATAAAGTAAAGTAAGGACCATTCTAGAAAAGAGAGTGTAGAACATGTGTCGGTACAATTGCAAATGATTTCATGATTTCGTCATCTTAAGTAGATAATGAAATCAAATCCTGAAATCAGGAGAAATCTGTGTACATACGTTTGGAAACCAACTAACAAGACCCGGACAAGCTTAAAAAACGATCCGTCAAATCTAAAAACTGATTATTCTACAATGCACAGGGAGCCAGTGGAGGGAAGCAAGGGTAGGGCTAAAGCGATGTCTTCTGTTAAAACCTAGAAGCCTAGCTGCTAAATTTTGAACCAGTTGGAGGCAAGAGAGAGATTTATGAGTGATACCAGAAAGGAGGGAGTGAGAGTAATCTATCTAACTGAGAGAAGATGAGTGCATGAATAACTTGTTCCAGGTTTGCTTGTGATAGAACTGATTTAATTTTAGAGATGATCTTAACTGAACGAAACACGACTGGACGGTTTTCATAATGCACTGGTCAAAGGTTAATTCTGTGATATTTGAAGATAATGAACTGAGAGAGCTCTCAATCTGAGCAATGTGCGAGGTGGGATAATTGAAGAGCATGATTTCTTATTTAGAGTCTTTGAGCTGTAGAAAACTTGAGGGAATTCAACATTTGGTTTCTTCCTGACAGTCACAGACAGCAGCGAGGCTTCTTTGATCATTGGGTCTCAGTGGCAGTACCTGTGATGACTTCTGACTGAGAAAAGAATAATACCATATTTTTCATAAATTCACAACATTTTCAGTTTCAAAATTTTAAATGTCGTCTTTGCAGTTTTTCCAATCAAATACAAAGTTTGATTGATTTCGAAGCTATCCAAATTTGTTTATCAATTTACGCAGTACTCCAACCTTCCATGGTTGTAAAATTGTATCCAATGGCAACCTGGAAAGTTACTGATATGGTCTTTCAATTTCAAATGTGAAATTGTGTCTTTGGTACTAAACTAATGTTTTTAAAGTTGATGTGTGACTTTAAAATGAAATTCTAATATCTGCAGTATTTATAGATAGCATATGAATAGTTATTTTCAATCACAGGTATTTCACGTCGCATGTCACAGTCACCTTTTTGGTCATCTCAAGTTTACTGTAGGATTAATCCAACAAGTGTCGTATTTGTTCAAACTCCTGTCATCAATATGCAGATTTTGCCATGTGCCTTGTCCAACTGAAGTGTCCTAGGCTGGCATTTTATACAGTGTAATCCCAACTGTTCTACCTCACTCTTTGTGAGGCTGACTGATGTGTCATGTACTGTAGCTTACATACATATGGCTCATTACGGGTAACGTAGCTTAAAAAGTTTAACCTGTATTTTTGGTATAAGGATTTGAAATATTTAAATATTTTCTATCATTTCAAGTTTGCTGAGCTTTTATCAACAGTACTCAAGAATTGTCAGTTTTGCTTTTGTGTTGAAGATTGTAGGTAAAAATAAAGACCTGTGAACTGGCACCACGAACCTTTCAGTGTGAGTATGAATACTTTGTATACATATATTTAAGTTAGTCTTCCATGATTAATTCTGTACACCATGAGGTAACAGCTCTTGTAAAATAATCTAGTTTATCTAATCTCTGTAACGTCATCAAAATACAGTTATGGGTGAGTAATGTGTTGGCCTATATTTGTTTCCAGTCAGAGGCAATAATAAACATGCATGTTTCCTTGTATCCTCGTGGGTTACCTGTATGTTTCCATTGGTGGACTTTGAAATGTAGTGGCAGTCTTCCTGGTACCTTCCTTTATGGGCGGAGCCAAAAGTCCACCTAATAAAATACAGGCGACTGTAGGTACTATTACTTCATTGTGCCTGCAGACAGGACGTTTGGTTTCTGAAGAGAGGGGTCTGGTCAAAACCGCTCAAATGTCTCCTGTAAAGAATTTAGTGCTAAAATATGACGCTTTGAATGAAGAGAACTCTTTTACTGATGGAGATACCATCACGGGAACCTTCAGCTTCACTTTGACCGAAAAAACTGAAATCAAGAGCATTTGCGTCAGAGTCAGTGGGCTCATGCATGTGTACAGCATCAAAAACGGCTTTCTAAGCACCCAAGAACGGGACTACTTCGACATCCAGGAGATCCTAGTCGGAAAAGAATCCAGTGGTAAGAAAGAAAATTAATGCCCTTCATCCTGCCTCTCTTCTCTTATTTTTCAAAAAGCACTAATATACAACATATACAATGTTCATTTCAATGGATTTGTTGCCATGTCTATAGCCTTGCTTATTTTGGTAAAGACACTTTCTGTTCTTGTAGATGACACTATCATTTATCCAACAAATATTAGTAGTACCATCATTTTTCTTCCAGAGACTGTTCTTCCCTGTGGAAATCATGTCTATGAATTCAACCTCCTCATACCTGAAGGGTAAGTAAACCAAAATGTAAGGTCATCATAGTCTCAATGATAGTCTGATGTTATTTCACTTCAGATTTTCTGTATTTATAAAACTATGATAGCACAACTATCTCGTGTTTCTCTGCCACAGAAGCTTTCCAGCATCATTTAAGGGGATAGGTGGAAAGATCATCTTCAAGCTGGAGGCTAAGTTGGTCGGGAGTAAGGGGATTCAACATACTCTCACAAAGGAGCTCAGTTTTGTGTCCAAGGCAATTCCAAACCCGCAGTCTCTGATGGTGTGTATAACATTTAAAAAGATCAATTTGATGTTGTGTGAGAGATACTGGACTCCTTTCATCCACAAGCTTGTATGAGGAGACTCAGTTTTGTGTTCAGCCTCCCAGTAGTGACCCAGCCTATTTATAAACCATTTCTATAAAATAATTGTAAACATAATACAGGCAGAAATAAATTCTCCTTCATTTCTACAGAACATAAATGCTACTTTGAGGACAGCTGGAGCTTTATAACATCAAATGAAAATTATGTGTTTATGAGAACTGGACTTTGGTCAGGCTTGTAGTTACACCTTTAACTGTTAAAGCAGTGACCTTTTTTCATTTCCAGAAATACACAAAAATCTGTAACCCAATACGTCAGTTCAATTTCTTTAGTTCTGAGAAAGTGAAAAGACAGCGATCTTTAAATGCAGTAAAATAAATGCATTAAACACTAAACACATGAGAATCAGTAACCTTGAGGTCAAATTGTGCGGCCTGTGTAAAGAGGTCAAGAGTCCTCAACATTTTAGGCAGCCTAAAAAGTCCTATCGATACCTCCCAGTTTCTTACTCTACTCCTGAAGAATGGCATAAATGACAAGAGACAAAGACTGACTCCAGTAAGAAGTTTAAATCACATTAAGATGGAAAATTACAGCAGCTCTGGGTTGTTTTCATCCAGAACTTTTGTAATAAAACATATGGAGTTTTATTTCAGTTGGACATGTGACTCAGGTACAGCTCTTGTGAAAGTGTGATGTCCTTATTGAGATCAATCAAACTTTCCTTGGATGAAATTCATAGTTGAAAGATATTCTTTTGCTTAGAGTGACCATGTTAGGTATTTTCTTGGCAAGAGAAAACTTAGCAGGTTAAAACAAAGAGAGAAAAATAACAGAGAAGTTAAAAACAAAAGACTTGAGCAGAGCACATCAAACTCCATCCTGACTTTAACTAATACTCCATGTGTTTTGGCAACTGATGAAGTTCTGAAGAAGAACTGTATCGATCCCCGAGAGAAATTCAATAAATGATAAATTTAATGATAAAAAACAAGGTAGCATTTGAACACTCTTGTGTCACCAACTACTCCGTGGTGGTGATTTGTACTTTCTTCCAGTTTTTCTTCGTGTTACCATGATCTAATACTTCAGTATATGTTGCACAAAATTGGTCTTTCATTTTAACACATTTTTAAGTGTACTTACTTTTTTTAGGGACCTTACTGGTACCTGCTTTCATAACTGTGTATCAGATTGAAAGTAGCTGAATTTGTATTCAGTGATGGTCTTAAGGTGCTGAATACTCCTGTAGCTCTCAAATCATGCACAACATTCTTGTAATAATGGCGTTTGATCCAGAGTAATTGTTTTTTCTATTCATTGCATTTCAGCTGCAGCAAGTTGAATCAACGAGCAAACAGATTGGGTTTTTGTCAAGAAGAGATGTGCACATGGAAGTCACGATTGACAAGGGGGCTTATTCTCCAGGTAAACCTCTCCTCATTCATGGCAGGCTGAAGTTCACCAAGTGCATCTTATTTGTCTAGCATTATTTTTAACAGGCAATTAATCATACTGTACACTCCTGTGAGGAGTTTTTGGCTAGTTATAAAACAAGCTAAAGTTAACACTGATGCGTTAGGGACCTGTAAAAAATAAACAATACTGTGGCAAATAGAATACAAGACAGTTCAAGGGAACTTCAGTCGTATATGTAGCTCACAAGTGGAAAAAAAAAAACTCATGGTATTTTGTTATTTCCCTCACAGGTGAAACGGTGATGATTGTTGCAAATATCAACAACTCTTCATCATACCAGGTGACACCCAGATTCTGTTTCGAAAAGACTGAGGTTTACTATTGCAAATATAATGAGAGAAGTGACAGAGATATTATGGTGAAACTGCATGGCAGCACCGTCAAAGCCCGAACCCAGACCAAGGTGAAGTGTGCCATGCCTCTTCCACCAGAAATGGTGCAGACGATACAGAACTGTAGCCTCATTCAAGTGGAATACTATGTAAAGGTATGTAGAGATTTAACTGTGTTTCTTTATTCTAAAGCATGATCAGCTCAGCATTTGAGCATTTTTGGTAAGCTTGTTTTGAAAGGATTGATATGGACTTTGAAAGAGATTGTACTAATGTGTCTGACTGTCAAATGTTCTGTAGCTGTTCTGTTTTATTTTATGAGAAAATATCTTACCAATATATTTATATTATCCTTTCTAGGTGTACCTTGACATCAGCTTTGACGGGAAACTGAAGATTGTGTTCCCGGTGATCATATACCCTCCAAGCTTAGGTTGTATCCCACTGCCTGATGATACTGCACACACCCCTCCAGTAGGTGCTGTTGAGGGTCCAAGCAACAGTGATGTCTCTCTCCGTGCAGCACTTCTTCCCCCACTGCCTAGTGCCCCATCCTCTACCCCACATTTTGACGTATACCCAACACTTCCTGCATACAATTCGCTGCCTTCTGCGCTGATGAAGACAGACTTCCTGTCCCAGTCTGATGAGGCTCCTCCAGCATATTCAGTCCTTTTTTCCTTCCTTTGTTAATGAACAGTCGGATGCATAATAATCTAATGCATGCTTAATCACTCATTTTGTTTTTGTTTACCAAGGACCAATTGATCAGCTTTTTGTGCTAAAAAAAAAACAAAGTTATTGTTGACAGTTTTTGTCACTGTGCAGTCAAGTGTCTTACCTGAAACTTTAAACTCAGCTCATGTGTAAAGGTAGAAAGAAACTTGAAATTAAGATAGGTATCAGGTAAAACAGTGAGTGGATAAAAAAAAAAAAGAATGATTAAATTAAGTAAATGTTGTTAAAACTGAAGTAAAAAGTCTGCGAAAGACTAAAGGATATCACTCCAAATCAGAAGTTTTTGATGACAGCATCTTGCCATATATCTTCACAGAACCGACAAACTGGTCATTGCTTTACATGCTTTTTGAATTTAGCGAGTAGCCATCCAAAATGCATCACTTGGTAGACAAAGAAGATAAAGAAGACAAGTTTTTGATAGTAAAAACTTGTCAGGTGGAGTATTGTACTTAACGCACATCACAGGAGTTTGTCCTTGAAGCTCACTTTTTCGGGAAGGAATACTGATGAACTGGTGACAGGATCAAGGATTGTCAAGGTTTATTTTTAAAGCACTTTTCATACATATAATGTAGCACAAAGTCCATTCAAGCAGGAAATAAAAAACAATGAAAAAAGAAAAAAAAAAATACCCCACCCACCCTCCCAACCCCCATCTAAAACATACAGCACTCACATGCTCACACACACACAGATGCATATGCAAAAGACCAGGACTCTTCTACTTGCCACAGATAAGAGTACAAACTAAGGTACAATATAATACATTTGATGATAATAACAATACTTATACTCATAATAATAATAATAACAATATTTATTATTAAAGCCATTATTATAATAAAAACTAAATTAATTAGATAATAAAATTTAAATAAAAAATAAGGTGGATGATTTCATAACAGTAATAGTAAAAAAAACAGTTGTAATAATAATAATAATAATAATAATAATAATAATAATAATAATAATGATGATGAAATAAGAGAACTTTTCTTGTCAGAGCTGGATGTTTTTGGTCTGTAACTCATAAAAAAGGAGCTTATACACAGAATATTTGGCTGATATACTGAAATGTTCTGATTGATTAGCTATTTTCTGTAACTGATCAATGTATTATTTCTGTTATAATATTAGGCTTTCATCAACCCACAGTAATGTGTATTCACCTATTCACCTTGCAAGATCCTTGAATGACAGTTTTGTGGAATAAATAAAAAAGTTGTCTTTTGTTTTTTAAACTTACAGCACAGACTGCTGGTTGTTGATGTGATTTTTTACAGCTTCCCCTAACTTGCATGAGCAAATATTGTGGCTTTTCCTGTCACCTCCTTTTGTGGGTGGAGTTACATATTACAGAACAGGTGATAGTTGTCATGCACTATTATCGGGCGTAGTCCAGGAAGAGTAACTACTTCATCACTGAGCGCTTGAGACGGATACAGGCAAAATGTCTCCAATAAAAGAAATGAGGCTGGCCTATGTGTCTCCGAATAAGGACAACGTTTTTACCGACGGTGACACTGTTACGGGCACGCTGAGTTTCTCTCTGACAGAGGACACCAAAGTCAAGAGCCTCGGCGTAAAAGTCGCAGGGCGCGCGCACGTGAGCTGGCATGAGGGGACCGGAGATCGCAGGAGAAGCTACATTGCAAACAGGGAGTACTTTAAGGTCAAAGTGAAGTTTGTGGAAAAAACCTCCGATGGTAAGATGATCAAATGCTTTCATATGCAAAAAAAAGAGGTTTAGGTGACCTTATAGACACTTACCCATTTTCCATATTCCGTTTATCATGTTTTATAAGTTCATTTATACAGGCATTTCTTTGTCAAAACCTCATGAAAACAGCAGCACAGTGGATCAAGAAAATCCTTTGCTTTATGAGTGGAATTCCTTTTCTTGTTTATACCTGCATGTGGATTTATTTACAGTATCAGGACCAGAGCCGGCCCAAGCCTCAATGGGGCCCTAAGCTAAATTTAATTTTGGGGCCCCTTTATTTCTGTCAGTAATATTGATTGTTGATCATTCACGCACTTTCACAAATCTCTTTATCATTCCATGACATGCAAACATACGTTTATCTTGGCATTTTTTCTCTTCTTCCTCTTTCTTTTCCCTGCTTCTTAAGCATATGTCCTTTTTTGCGACACTGTTTTGCCCTACAACTACCTGCGTTTTGGATGCTCAGTGCACATTGCACAGCAGAAGGCACATAATGCTAGCAGAGCTTTGACATATTGGCAGTAAGAATCATAGGCCTACATGATCAGCAGCAGTGTTGTTTCGTCAACGTCATCGTCCACAGAAAACAACACTGCAGAATATATGTGTAGCATTTGACTGACAAATGCCTCATGAATTTTGCAACTCTGTTCTTCCACCACCAATGTTTTCGTCTCGTCTCGTCTCGTCTCGTTAACCTAAACGCACATTCGTCTCGTCACATTTTAGTCATCTAAGACTTATGTTTAGCTTATCTACGTCATCGTCGTGGGAAAAAAAATGGTGTAGACGAAATATTTTCATCAACGAAAACAACACTGATCAGCAGCAGCACTACAATGTTTTTACTTTATTTTATATTTACAATAATATGTATTTGATCACACAGGAAGCATCACTCATACATGCAAAAAAATATATATATTTAAACATTTTATTTATTTATTTTTTATTGCAGGCGCTTAGTTCACTTATGCCTTGGGCCGTCTCTGATCAGGACCTTTAACCAGCAAAACAAACTTAGGCTGAATACATAAATCAATCTTTTGAAGGTGTCACACACTTTCATAAGTGCAACACACACACCACAAACCCTCTATAGGGCTCTGAAATTTGAGCTTATCATTTGTTTTTCTTGCAGGCACTGTGCTTCCAAAAGGGGACCATTGCCACAAATTCAGTCTTAAAATCCCACACGGGTAAGTGGTCATTTTAATCGAAGTTTTATATGAGTGTTTTTGTATGCTTTCACATTAAAGCATTTCTGAGCAGGTTGTTTTTTTGTTTTGTTTTTTAGGAACCTACCATCATCCTTTAAAGGCTTTCATGGATATGTCACCTACAAGCTTGAAGCAAAGATGTGCAGAAGCTGGAAGTTGCCAACGACTGAACATGTGGAGCTCAAATTTGTATCAAGGCCCACTTTGAATATTGGCCAGGTGATATCATTGTATTATTTTTTTCAATCAACATGTATGCTTTGAAATAGCTGGCTAAAATGGTAAAAATGAGTTAGACAGCAGAAAAAAAAGAAAGAGAAGTGTTGAACAGTTTTTCTGCAGAGAGTTTATGGATATGAAGTCTTTCACAGAGGAAATTTTGGTATTATTATAGCCGAAATAAAACAGAGAACAGGAACGTAAGAAGAAATACACCAAAAATGATACTCGAAAGTAAATCTGATAATCAAATGAGCAGCTAAATGGCTGCAACCACAAACAGGAATTTCCTGTTTGATTAAACTGAACCAAACAATACGCCTATTATGGTGAAAGAGGAGCAGAGTGCCACAGATACATTTTTTACTCACAGTGTTGCTCAGCTACATATTTATTCTGATAAGCTTGGATTAATACAGAGGTAATAGTGTTGACTCTAAAGAGTGTTGTCCCAAACAAGAATGCATGATTTCAAAGGTCAACTCTGTGAAGACTTGCAAAAACACATTCACGCGCGCACACACACACACACACACACACACACACACACACACACATGATGAAATGAAATGATGTTTTGTTTGTGGGATTTGTTCTAGAGCCCCATTTCCGGTTCTGTGGAAAAAGGAGATGTCCAAATGACTGCTACTGTTGACAAAAGTCTTTGCTCCCCAGGTAACCAATTTACAAAGAAAGACAGATATGTCAAAGAATTTAGGTTGCTTATTATATGTCAAAACAAGTTTAAACAACATTTTTCATTTATTCTTGTTGACCTGTAGCTTTTATGTGTGCTAAATCAACATTTTTTAAGCCGCATGTAACATAAATATTAGCTTTTTTAAATTTCTATTAATGTAGTAATGGTTTTGAGCATTTATTTTGTCTTTCGTCTTGAAAGGTGATACTTTTTCCGTTGTTGCCAAAATCTGCAACAACTCCTCGAAGAAAATGAAGCCCAAATTCAACTTGATACAGAGAATTATCTACCGCGCCAGAGCCTCCAGTAGGCACAGCTACCTAAGTCAGTGCAAAATTGTCGGAGAAACTATCTCATCAAAATCGACAGAAACTGCCTCTTGCCAGCTGAGGGTTCCTTATGAATGCACCTACACCATGAACAACTGTGAGATCATCACAGTTGAATATCTTATCAAGGTATGTACTTTTGTTTTGGATGAAATCATTGCTGTTGAATGAAATGTTGTCACTGCAATTGTAATTGTAACATTTGTTGGCAGCTCACCGTCACCGTAGTTCATATTACCCACCTCTGTGTTTCTGTAGGTGTATTTGGACATCAAGTTTGCCATTGATCCAGAGATTGTGTTGCCAGTGGTTATTGCTCCTGTAAAATTGGCTTCCCATTTTAATGAGGCTATGGGGCCATATCCAGCTGGGCCTGCTGTGGCCCCGAGTTACAGCGACTTCCCTCCACCATCCTTCCCCATGGGGCCGAGCCATGTACCTGCAGGTCCAAGCGCTCCCTTCCCGCCTGGTCAAACACAGGGGCCTTACCCTGCGTTACCCTCTTTTGGACCTTATCCTGCACCCACAGCTCCGAGTGCTTATGGATACCCAGCACCAGTCCCCAATCAGCCCGCACCAACAGCAAGTGGCTATACACAGTGGCCACAACAGCCTCCACCATATGGCTATCCTCCTGTAGCTTTCCCTCCATCTTCAGTGCAGCCGCAAGCCCCTGCTGCTCAACCTCCATTTCAGGAGGAGGGAGACCCACCAACCTACAAGTCCCTTTTTTCCCCTCCTCTATAAAAAAATATTGTTAACTAAAACAGAGCCCCAAAAGTTACCTTGCTCTGCAAGCAGATGAAAAGTTGGACTGAGCAATTTGTGATAAAACGAGCACTTGATCTTTATTAAGGTTAAACTCAAATCTGTACTATCTTGAAAACCTGTATGTACTGTATGTTTGTTCTGCTGTGATACCATAGACTGCATATACTGTGGACAACTTGGTTCCGGCTTCTGCCAGTGTACGGATTTGAAGCAGAAAGCTCTCTGTAATTGCGCAGTAGCGTTGTACGCACTTCAACACTTGTGCAGTAGCGTTGTACGCATTGGGCGGGAGAGTCGCCGAAAGTCGCTGTGATGACGCTCGGCTCAAACAGCGTATCACCCCGGGTGAGCTACGCAATCCTTGTACGCCCATAGGCTGTATCAGGTGTCAATCATAGAAAACTTGAACCCTCTAATAACTTTTAAAAATGGAGCTGTACAGAAAAAAAGAGGACTTGAGCACAAACCAGTCTTACAATTACTACATGTCAACATCGCAAGCAAGGGGGAGGAAAATTTATGTTCTGTGTAATAGATTTCTAAAGTTTGTCCACAGCTCCATAGGGATTGCTGGAGGAGGCGGGATTTATGACCTATACCACAGCCCATCAACAGAGTGTGCTGTTCTCGGAGTGGCTTCACCAAGCGAGGAGGCAGACGACGTCCATACTATATACAGTCTATGGTTTCAAATTTGTACTAATGTGAAAACTTGTATGTACTGTATGTTTGTTTTGCTGTGATACCTTTACCTATAGTCATCATTCATTTATTGTTTAGGTAGGAATTGTGTTTGGATTTAGCATAGTTTAGTTAAAACTTCTCTTGTTTACTTACTTTTAAAATATAGTCATTTATCCACTTGTTCATATCTACTCAGCTGATTTTCTCCCACATGCATGCCTAAAGTAAACCTCTGAAATCTGGATGGTTTACTGAATACCCCTCACAATAGACAGGCACGGAAAAAAGGGAACTGGTCATTTGTTTTCTGTATAGGATTTATGGTTACAATGCATTTAATTGCTGGGAATAAACATGGTTGTTATGAGAGAGAATTATTTGAATATTTTAATGTGCTTAAAGCCTGGGACATACCATGTGGGGTATCAGCACAAGGAAAACATCATGTGACCATACAGGCCCCCAAAAGCTGTCCCATTCCTCACAGTTACGACTGGGAAATCCTATTCAGCTTGGAACACTGTTTTCTCCTTATAACAGATTTATGCTCTTTAAATCTAATTGGTAGTCCATGCAGTTGTCGCGAACCGGTTGTAAACACTTTTACTTGCTTGCTTTGGTGGTAAACAAGGAATGTTATTATGGAGAACAGTGAGTGAAAACCCAGATTTTCCTGGGGAGGGTACAAACAATATGCAAAATGGTGAGCTGATCTGCAAAAAGTGGATCTTTTTTAAGTGTTTTAACATAAAATCCACAGTGTGTAATCCATGTAGAGTTATTCAAAGGAATGCATAGACCCACAGACCCCTCCACACACACTCCACCCCTCCCATATATCCATGTGAAGGGTGCACAGAGGGAGGTTGCATGAAGTTTTGCTCCACCCACCTGCACTTGCTCCTGTTGCTCATTAGATGCCTGTTGTATTGTCACGGGAGACCTCCAACTATCTGTGCCTGTCATTGCTACAGCTATGGGACGAGGGCTTTCGTGTGTTTATTTGCTGCTCTTCGTGATTTTTAAAGGTAAGAGGAATAAAAAGTTCAGATTGTCGACCAAACTTGACCGCACCCTGGAGGTAAGTAAATCGGCGGACAAACTTTGGAGCAACAAAATCTGTTATTTCCACTATTATTACTTTTATACCTTTCTTTAGTGTTGCTTAACTTGATTGGTTCATATTGGGTCATACCCATAGACTGTATATAAGATATATGTTATATACAGTCTATGGTCATACCTGAAGTCTTAAGAGCACCTTAACTAAGATAACAGTACACAATATACCATGTAAACGTTACTGTTGGGTTGGGCTGCCAAAGTAAATAAAGCTTTACACTTTAAGCCTATGTAATGGTTTTCCCTGTATTATTTTAGCTAGCTGTTAGCTCGAATTAGCTTTAAGTTGAGTTAATGCTAACTACTCAAACCCACTAAAAAGTTAAATGTGATGTTAAGAGGATGTTTTTCTACTTCTGTTGTATGCCGATTGGAAGTTAATATCACGAGAAGGCTAATTTCTAAGTTTCTGAGCTGATATTATTTGTCATAACTTTTCTAAATAGCAACAAAAGATTAAGTTACAAACTAATGAATGGAGTTCGGTCTGTATTCTTTCCTACTAGGAGTTGTTTTTATGACTAGGCCAGCTGCTCTGCACATTTGAACAACTCTTATGTCAGTAGCAGGTTACAGCAGTCTGAAGATACTTTTCACAGATAAAGTTAATTAAGGAATTAAAGGAATTGAAGAATTAGAATTAAAGTTATGTGGAGTGACTTCTTTATGTTCCCTTCACAGAAACATACAGCTTTAAAGTCCAGAATAAGCTGCTGGGAAAATGCCTGCAGGTACAAGAAGGCTCTTATGGAGGCAGAGTGTCTCTGGGTGATTGCAGCCCTTTGTCAGCCCTACAAGAATGGCAGTGGCTCCCAGAGAGTCAAGCTCTCAGCAGTCATCACACCGGGGAGTGTTTGACTGCACCAGGAGAGCAGTATGAAGGTGTCCATCTGCAGCCATGCATCTTCACTGCTGAAAGAGACGGGACCGGTGATGGAGGGGCTATGGCGGAAAAGAACAGGGAGGCAAGCAGCCAAGCCTGGTCCTGCTCCAAGAAAGGACACATCACTCTGATTGGGAGGGGGCTGCATCTTAGTGCCACACAAGAATCCACTTTGGTCTTCCTTTCCAGGGAACATAAGCAGGTACAAATATCCTAGAGAAGTGGGATGCAGTACTTTACCACTGAGAAATAGACGGCTATTAGACGTCTAATTTTTTTTTAGACCTGATTTCAACCATCTAGATTCTGTATATTTTTAGGTGGAATTTAGACATTGCATTTTAACCCATTATTCAATAACTAATTATTTCAAAAAGCAATTGTGAAGTGCATAACTGATCTCCAAGTACTAAACTAAAATAATTATGATAGCCGTTGAGCAATGTACAGTGTAGTATAGTATAGCCGGCTAGTCTAAACTTGGTCTAAATTTATGTGAAAATGTGTCTAAAAGATAGAGAAATTGGCCTCATTCACTTTCATCTCTCTTCTTCTTCAATAAAGATATTTCCATTCACTTGATTAGGTTATCTGTCAACTTTCTGACATTGAAAGTCGACCTGTATCTAAAACACCATAACACCATCCATCTCATGATGCTGGTTTACCCGAGAAATGTTTCATCCTACTAAACAGAACCAGAACCCTTCTCATTTGTCAACCAAGTCTGACTTGGTTTTTAGATCTCCTCCAAATCTGCCGCCATCTTGGTTGTTGTTTTCCAACTTGGGTCACAGAATACATGTTTCAGGTTTGTGTACCAGTTACATGGACATGTACTTAAAAGTTAAGCTAAAATGTAATTTTACCCCCAGAATGGTTTAATTTTAAATGCATAGAATTATATTTTGTTGATTTGAAAAGGACTTGCATGGAGATTCTGACCCAGATTGAGTAGTGGCAGCTGTCTTGCTATTATTCTACAGTTTAGATCAAACATTGCACGATTGAAATATGAGTCGACAGCTTTAAAATTGTGAATTTATAGATTTCTTTTTATCAAATATAAGTGCTAGAGAAAGACAAACACAGTCTCCAAATAAAATTTGGCTGACATGTTTGTGCTCAAATAGGCATGAGTATGCTCTTGAGTGTTGACAGATTTTGTTTAAGAGCAAATAAAAAAATGGACGAGTGATAGAATTATCTTGTAAACTGAGTTAGAGTGGTTAATGGCTGAGTTATTCTTATTAAACATTCATTTGTCCCACCCTCTTTCCAAACAGGGCAGCAGGTGGCGAACCCTTGACAACCAGACATTGTGCAGCGGAAGAGATGGCAAACCTCACCAACACCAAGCTCTCCATCATCAGGAGAAACCGGTGGAACCAGAGCTACTGCCAGGTGCTGTGCTAGATACACACAGAGAGGCCAAACCAGGCAAGGACCTCAGAATATCTTCTCCAAATACTGTCTTTCTCTGTAGTGTAGCGTTCATAAAAGTGGTTATGGTCATAATTTACTGGCTGCAGAAAAGTGAAAGAATTACAGTGATGATCGATGCCATATCACGTGTTTATCCTCAAGACAAGAAGCAGCCGCAGTTTTTGGTTAAAATAGAAGGATGTGGTAGTTTGAATCAGATATATAGAGTGAATTGGTTTGTTCCTGTGAGTGAAACAGTGACCTCAACCAACCTAGACATGCAAGTAGAATTGATGTCAAGAAGAGTTATGAGACAGCGCAGTAATACTACAGAGGGCATAACTGTGATAGATCATGCAGTTTAATATTAAAGAGCAACTAAATAAATATTTTCTCTCATTTTTATCAACAATCAAATTAATTTTTTTTTCTTCAAGTCAAAATATATAAAAACACATGTTTGTTCCACAAGATGCTTTTTTGTGCTGCGCCTGATTTGAGTTACAAGATGTTTTGTGGTGTGGTCAAAAGATTAGATTACCACATGCCTGCTTCAGCCTGAGGATCTAATTTAGCTAAGTGCGCTTATGATGGATCAATATTTTCTCGGTGCTGGCGGAGATCCAGCTGCTCCATGAAACAGGATTGCAGAGACATGTCAGGTCGTGGCATTGCTGATTCATGTTGCCTCCACACCAGGCTTTTGTTTCTGTATGATCTGATATCCTTTTCACTGCTGAAGATAGGCAAACAGAACCGCTGCGTCTTTGCATCACAAATTAGCCAAAGCTGGAACACAGAATATAGAAAAGTTATTTTATTTAGGTTGTTAATCATTTATAGTTGACTTTTTCTTCACTTAAATCATTGTTCTCCCCTTTAGTTGAAGGTACAATGGACAGCGAGGTTACTGAGATATACCCTGCAAAAGAGGACCCCTTTTCTTCCCACAGCACCAAATCCCCTGAAGATCCCACCATGATTTTCTTCAGTATGGACTACGGTGAGTCGTAGTCTCTGTCGTAACCTCTGTTGTCTGTACAGTATGCAGGCCTTGATACAAACTTCAACAACCTCATTTATTCGGCATAAACCTGGCCATGTATCCACCACTAGATGGAGATAGATTACTAAGAAACTCATGACAGTGTTCGCCAAGGGTGTGTTGTTATGAGTTGTACTGGACTTTTATTTGCACACAGCCTTTACAGAAATGAAACAACTCTTTATCAAGGAGTGAATGAATGATTTGTTGCTTGTTTTAAGGGATGGGCTGGAAGATAACCATGCTGGTACTCAGCTCTTTGGCTCTGGTCCTGGGCACTGTGATTCTTATCCTCAATGTTTACTCCAACAGGTGAGTGCCTGAACACAAACTTCACATTAAAAACATGATAGGATTGATTAGTAAGTCGACCAGCCCTCAAAAGTGGAATTATTTTTCTTATCAGCGAATCATTTCAAAGGCATTTGCTCTCTTATGTAACTGTGAAACCTATGCACTTGAATGATAGCAGAAATATTTCATATATAAAGACAGGAATGGGTTTTTTGCAGCACATTGGAGTCCAACTTTCATTGACCGCACCTTCCAGTAATCAATTATAACTGAGCCAAACATTGTGAAATTTGAAGATAATTGATAACTAATTGCTAAATTACATTCGGCTAACTAAGGGAAACTGCAGACAAGAGGAGACGCTAGACAAACAGCTCAGTAGGTTGTTCTGTACTCTTACTTTTAGTCTTTTTTGTCTTTCTTTATCAGGAGGAAGAAGGTTGTGTGTGTTTTGAAGTCATACACACCAAGACCAGAGATGAGTGTTCCTGGATCTCCAGCGCCCAGTGAAAGAGCCCCACTAACAGAGCACGCCATGCGTCTCCCACACTCCACCCCGACTCTACAACGAGGAGAAATCCTGATTCAGTGGAAGGATGGTACTGTAACTCCACTGTATGAGGCCTGAAAGTTTCTTTTTTATGTGTTTGAAGGGAAGTTTGTGTTGGGAGAGGAGATGTGAAAACAAAAGGCAAAATAAGGTAGTGTTTTGTTTGGGTTCTGCAGCTTTCATCCAAGCGTTACCAGGCGGTTTCATAAAAATGATATTTCATGGATCAGTATCGGAGCGTGTCAGTGAGGTTTAGCCGCCACAGGAATATAAAGGCCGTCCATGGAGCTGCCAGAACAGAAAAGTTGAGTAAGAGCTGGACTTTCACTTTTCAATAATACTGAGTCCTGACTCCTGCTCTTAGAGATTGAAAGGATTGCTTGCTGGACTGTAAAGTTACTGTTTAAGCAGTCAGAAGTTGTTTGACTTAAACACCATTTAAGGGCTCAACAAAGCAACCAATATATTAGGCTTTCACTTGGATGAATACTTGAGAAACTTACCTTTGTTTGCCAGGGCCTCAGATGAACCGCCGACCAGCTATGATATTAAACATGTTGTGCTGCGGTGTTGGATAAGGCGTTCCTTTGCATAGTTAGTTGATTTTGCAGTTCAAAGCGGTTTTTGACGCAGCCGTTTAACACTGAACTTAACAAATGGTTCTTCTCTAACCACAGCTAAAATCCTGAGACTCACACCTTCAGTGTCGGGAGTAAGAAGCTCCTTTATAGTGAAGAAAATTATGTAGCAGTCATGTGACCTTCAGAAGAGTCAGTTTCTTTATAGAATTCAGTATTATTGAGCTTGAATACACTTTTATATCATGTGTCTTTGAGATGTAGAAGAAGGGAGTCTACCTAGTTTACAGAAGTTTTGTTATTTGTCTAACGGTATTTTTCTGTAGTGTTAAATTTAAAAGGCAGTTTGCACTCACAGAGGTTTTTGGAATAATTCATTTGCTTATGAAATTTAATTAGTTTGCGTAAAACTTTTGCCCAGCAGTTGGTAAGAAAGTCTCCACTCGCAGTGAAGATCATATGTTACAGCTGGAAGAACTGTAAAAGCTCGTGTGGGCACCGCCTCGTCAACAATTTACTATTTTGATTTTTTTGGCATGCTGTAATCTCCTTTTTGACATCGGCCTACGCTAATAAATGAAATATTTGCGTTGATCATATCGTACTGTTATTTTTGTGACTACATGATGTGTATGTCGTTTTAAGTGGGTGGATAAAAGACTGCTGACAAGGTACATTTTATGGTAATCACTTCAGACAGGCTGTAGGCACGCTGTAATCACAGATTTGTTAAGTTAATGATGATGATGATGATGAGGTTCAAGGGAACATTGCATTTCCCTGTGGCACGGAAACTTCCCAGCAGGAGGAGTCTGTTTACAAAGAAAACCGAGTCTTCTTTCTCTGTTTTTTCGGGAGAGAGGTGTGTGTTGTCAAGCAGGTTAATTTGCCTCCCCTTTTTTTAATAATAAGCAGAATTGGCGGCCAAAACGCTGTCAAAAGTGAAAAAGGATCAACTGTACGGAGTCGCAATTAAAGCTTATGTGTCTGTATGCCAAGCCTAGAGCTGACACCCTGTCTCTCCTGCTGGTAGTGTTTAAAATAATGAAAGGCCACAAAGTTTAATGAGCAACATACAGCACCCTGAAAATGACATGACGCCCCACAACCTTTCAGACCACATCCACATGCCTGATGAGGAAAACAGGTTGTTTCCAAGTTTGTTTCCAAAATACTACATCAAAACTGTTTGATAAGCTCTGATTTTAAAATAACTCAATAACTATCCATCGAGGTTTTGTTGTCGAACACTGATAACACAGTGATTTGTGTGCTTTTCTGTTACTTATTGTGTAAACAGACAAGTCGAATACTCTAGGAATCGTGACCCTACCATTGTTCTTAACTTCGCTAAACTGTTAACTTACACAATATGAATCACGTGGATGTTCTCACACACCCAGAATGTTGAAAGTCGGTGCTTTTGCTGCGTGGAAGTCGTTTTATTTAATTCCAGTAAGTTTGAATACTGAGCAAAAAAAAAAAAGAGCAAACAATAGTAAATGTGTCACTGTCCAAATACTAACAGGCCGCTCTGTATGTGCACAGACGTGTCTTCTCGCAGGTGAGGCAGAGGACAGTGGGAGTGACACCTGCATGAATAAGAGGTGTGTGTGTGTGTGTGTGTGTGTGTGTGTGTGCATGTCTGAGAGAGAGAAAGAGAGGTAGTGAGAGGGGACTGACTCAGCACTTAATACCTGATGGTTCATCAGATTCAAGCCCTACAGTGGATTCATCATCTCAGTCCATTTTCATACTCTTCTAATATTTCTCACAATCTCAAGAAGTTTTGCAGACAGTCTGACCCACAGTCTTGTCCTACTCATCCATAAACCCCAGTTATACCGCGCGAGACCGCGACCAGATGAGAGACAAACAACAGTGGAGAAAAATGCACATCTTTTGCGAAAGGGTCGGGACGACATTTTTATGTATTAAAAAAAATGGTTAAAAGGGGACAGACAAGAAGACGGTACAAAAAGAACGATAAACAGATGTGTTCAAAGGATGCTGGATTTATCAGCTTCCTTTGATTTCCTCTTCAGAATTACAAAGTGGCCTCTCTTCAATGAAATTCACAATTTCTGAAAGTCACATGCTAACACCTTGTGAGCATGTGTTTATTATCATTGCAGTCATTTACTGCCAGGATATGAAATCAAATATTTGGCAGAAATTCCACTAAATCCAGTGTGAGAAGGTAAAACCCTGTGCATTACAGCTGGCAGCAACTCTCACACTCATGTTATCTTTACTCTTGGTGCTTTAAAAAAAAAAAAATGTTATTAAACTTTTATTTTTGAGTGTTTCTCTTCTCGTACAGTATGTGAAACAAACTTGGTTGCAATATTATGTAATTTATCTCATGCTTTCAGCACTCTGGTCCTCCTCCCACATGAGAGTGGAACATGAATTTTAAATGCAGTGATGTACTGGAAAGTAAATCAACCTAAAGACATCAGCGAGGAGGTTAGCACTGATGACTGATACTGCATGCTTATACTGGTACATAGGAGTCTTTATGTGCCTCCTTCTGAAGCCTGGACCTCACTTTTAAATCTCTACATTGCACTGGAAAGTGAATAAACCCTCATAAGTAAGTCTTAAAAGGGAGGAAAGTGGTGTGTGAGGAATGACTGCTACCTCACAGTGAGATGGTTGTTATTTTAAAGCAAGTACAGCCTGACTCTATCAGTGCAAGTTTATTCCACTCCCTATGCTAAGAAACTTGTATTATGTTTTCTAAAATACTCTGAGTATTGAAAGTGGCTTTGATTGAAAAAATAATCTGATTACTTATTTAAAGTACTCTCATCACATTTATTGTTGGACTTGAAAAAGAAACTCTAGATACATGTACTCAGGTTAATTGTGAAAAGTAGTCTTACATTTGATGTCATGACTTTTGAAAATTGCTTTGACTTACTTTACTCACCAAAATAAAGGTTTTATTTTCAGCATGCTTACTTTTATACTCACCCAAATTCATAACATACATGCAAAGATACAACTACACATACAGCTGCCTTACACTTAGTTGAATAACGTAAATAATTACCTTGGTCAAATCTGACAAATTACATTTGGCCCACTCCTTTTTTGGATATTTGAATAGAAATTACATAAGTGGTGAAAACGATTTTCGTTCTTTTTCTCTTCTAACGTTTTTTTGTCTGTTGGTGGGTAAGTTTCTTTCTACAATCCCGAAATAGATTCAGTTTGGTTTAATTCAATTCAGTAGCATATATTCATGGTATCAAACTGGTAACTGACTTTCATTTTATCTTATGAAATGAAAACACAAAGGTGAACCAAGTTCAATCAAAATTATGTAGCCTATTATTTGTCCAAGAGACAAAAGACTCTACCTACTGTGTAAACAAAATTTGACATTATGTAAACTGAGGTTTTAATCACACACCCATGCCTTGGGTTCTCACTTGGACTGGAGACATATGAAAACTGGTTACTACTGACACAGTAGTATTAATGTGATATATCAGGTCTGTTATTTAAATGAGACCCAGCACTAATATTCACATTCAACATCGACATTAACTATCTTTATTTTCATCCTAAAAGAGCAGCATCCGATTTGTCCAGCTGGTAGAGCATAGACCCTGTTCATCACAGCTTATTAACCCCAGATCTAGGATCAGTTCAACCTCCATCAGGCCACTGCCCATGTCCTTCGTTTTATCCTGTTTTTCTGTAGCAGTAATCCTGCACTTAAAACTTGACTGACTAGTTCCTGAGAGTGTGTGTGGCAAATTCAGGCATGGACCCAACAGCTCCACCCGAGCTGAAGTGAACGTTATTCAATATCTTGTTACATGGTGCCAAATTTCTGCAAATTTCCCATATGAGGATGCTGGACAAGTGGTGTTTGAGGACTTTGAAAATTGCAGCAGCAAACTGCAGGTGGGAGAGAGAGCGGTGGTAACAGCAGCTGCAGTGATGGCAGCACACAGAGCTCTCAAGCTGCAATTTCTGCAGGAATTTCCCATGAGCAGCTTAAACCATTACCCTGACACAGACTGAAACACACTCAACACTACAGTCATGGCTATTTCAATACTCTGACTTATTTTCCTTGTCCAAAATCAGATTTAGATGTGAACAAGCTTTCTTTGTAAGTTTGGAAGGCGTCTTGTAAAACATTTTTAAAAACCCAGGAATTCCTCAAAGTGGTTGAATAATGCATACCCCCTCTCCACACTCTGAGCAATGAAAAGCAGTCATATGTTGCGGGAATTCTTGAGGTTGACTCATGCCTGTCCAATCTAGAAAATGGCACTGTGTGTGTAAAAAAAATATGTTATGGCAACCAAAATTGGTCAATTGCATTGGATTGCATTAAAGTTTTGGAAGTAAAGGTTCGAATGGTTTTGGATGAATGATTGGTGGTCCAATGAATGCAAGAAATGTTTAATTTCTCACTGCAGAGTTCTCATATTATGAGCACTAGTGCCATGTACTTTAAAATTACATTGGAACAGTATGCATTCCCAATATGTTTCGCAGTATTTTAAAAGATTTTTGCCAAAAGACAAAAACAGACAAGGACTATTTTGGAGGTTGTTGAATCTGATGGGCTAATAAAGTACCTCACAGAAATATTCATGACAAATTAAGCGTGGAGGACCATTAAAAGCAGTATTTTACACATTTCTTAAGTAATACAAGGAAGCTGGGGAAAGGTCAAAAAAGTCCAAATTCTCAAAATGGAGTAATCCCATCATGTCTGTATCTGCAGTGTTATTGTTGGTGGTAGTATGGAGGGTTGACTCTGGTCCACAGGTTGAGGCTTGGCCGAAGAAAACGTGTCTGTTTGTCTAGTCCTGTTGAATCCAAGAATAACTGTACATGGAAGACTGCTCGAGCTGATTTATTTTTCGCGGTTGATGTTGTCGTTGCTGGTTTTGACTTTCTCTAGCTTCACAGTACATACAGACATTATCACACATGGCGTGCACATGGTGCCGACTCTTCCCTCAGGTGTTTAATACCATACATAACAAAACAGGCCATTAGAGTTCCAGTCTGGACCAGACACCCCATACCACTGTGAGATACATTTAACTGCTCCATAAAACAGAGGGTGAAAGTTGTTTGAACTTATCAGGGCAATTCCTCTCGTCTATCAAGTTTTTCTCTTCTTACCTCTTTCTTTTGCTCATATTCCACTTTTTTGTTTGTTTATCTGTAAAAGATTTGACCCAAACAAATTTACCTTTTGTGTTTTCCTTTGCGAGTGTTATACAATGCTGAAATCTAGCCAAGCACACATGCTTTGAAGAAACTCTGGCATGAGTAACCTGGCTTAGTGGATATAATGGAGAATTTACAGGTGTACTCGGGACCAGATCCTGTGAAAAGGGAATATTCTCGGTATGTGAGACATGATATTGAGGGTATAACACAGTTCCAGCATGAAAGCACTTAGATTTTAGAAGACGAAATCTTCTTTTCAAGCAAACTGTAGCATCAAGGTACACTTCCTGCTTCAATATGCAATGTTGGAAGCTTTCAAGCCTTGCCCCTGGGATTAATTCAAACTCCAGTCTTTGTTGGTTTTGTAAAGCTGTAGACCTGCTGAAACATGTTTTTTTAAATTCAGTTCAAACTGGTTGGCTTTTCTATGGCAGTTTAAGGGCAACTCAGGGTATAATATTTATGTCCTTTTACATGGAAATCCAGATAGATATGCTTGTGTACACAAACGTCACTGCAGCTGAACATTTTCGCAGTGAGATAAAGCTTCAAAAATGCGGTATAGTTGTCATAATAATAGTTTTGACAACTATTGCAAGAATGTAAGAGCTAAAATTTATAGAAGTTAAATCTTACAGAGCCATAATACATCATCTTATCGCATAGTAGAATTCCACTGGAGCCCCTGGCATCATGCAGTACAAAGCCGGGCAGCTCAAGATAGAAAACACATGTTCACAGACGTAAGCAGGTGAGTGCTGTGTGCATCAGCTCTTTGAAAAGCCATATGGGTAATTTTTGTTGTCCACCTTACTTTACCTCATTTTATTGCCGGCAAGCTTCCAAAGGCTATTAGGCAATTTTTTATCCTCAAGAGTTTCCTCTATCTAGGAAACTATAAAGTTGCATTAATTTGACCACAGTTATTTTACTTTTAATGAATCTAAACATCAAATTTTGTAAGTGCAATCTCTGCTGTGACGGTTTTAGCTACTTGCTAAAGTCGTGCTGACAAAACAGACAAAATCAACATCAACAAACAAACATTTCCATGAACAAAAGAGAAAGAGCAATGTTGTTATTTGTTTGGACAAGTATTTTATCCAGCTGGTGCGCTCAAATCCAACATCCATTCTTTATTTATGTCTGTTTTTCCCCTTACTGACTTCTGAGGGATTTATCTTTCTTTCATCGAGTAAAAGCTTCACTTTGTCATAAAGCTGCTTTTCCATCTGCTGGTTAGTAACTTTACTGAAAAAAAGGGCTGGCTGAAATTGCACTGACAAGAACAGGGGGCATAAATCTTGTGGGACCATTGTGGGCCAAAAGACTAAAATGGTTTGATAGTGCCATGAAGCTGCATGAAGCTGAGGAGCTGCAGTGATATATCAGTGTAGATGTGTCTTTAATCACCATCTCTTTATGAAGAAGTGGTAAGTGCAGTTGTGAATTCAAGAGCATTGAGAACATCTGCTTTGATATGTTGTGTTTTACCCCCATTTCATCAAAAAAGTACAAGATCTGGGTAAATACTCAGTTAAAGCTCCTATGAGGAATATTTAGTTTGTGTCAGTTTTGGCGCCCCCTGTGGACAAAGCAGTCTTTTCACCCTGATGACCTTTGACATTGAAACATACAATCTAATGTGAATTTGTACGTGGAATTTCTCAAAACAGGGCTGTTGCTTTAGCTTTTCAGCTGGCGGCGACCCCCTTGTACTGGTCTGAAGCTTTAAATATGACAGCATAACAATCATTGATATTGTCACTGATGGTCTTGTTTGCTTTTATATGTCATAAAGAGGCATCAATGTGAATTTCAGCCTATTTAACAAATGAAAAAACTCCCTACAGAAGCTTTAAATGTTGTCTTTTCAAATCTATTGGTGATTTACTTCTGATTACAGGGGGAAAGTTCATTTCTACTTCTTAAAGTGTAGCTATTTGATCACTGCTTTTCTTTATATTTGCACAACTTACATTTACAAATGCAACCCAGAAATTCCTAAGAGTAGCCCTTAAATAAGTATCTGACTCAGTAGAAATAACTGGTTAATCTCCACTTTTCTTTTTGATGACAAAGTATTATATAATCCCGTCTATTTTGACAACAACGTCGTGTGAGTTGTCTGCAGGAACTTTTACTGGTAATCCTTTCCACACATGCAAGATGACCTGCTAAGACCTGTTGGAATAATTGTTTGGACGGTCTTAGTCATTTAGGCCCACCCGTGTCCTAACTTTGCAAGAACAGATTTGCCTTTCAGATCATTCTCTTTTCAAAAATGAAACATCGACTGGGTGTGTTAAGGTGGGTTAACAGTAAGACTATTTATTGTTTTCACATTGTGTGTAAAAAGGCAGGTAGGCATGGCTTTCTATTAATCCAAACCCTGGCATGGAGGAGTATGAAGGACCGGCTTGAATAGATTTATCCACTGAAGGATGGTGGCACAGCTCTGGTCTGTGGCTCTGAGGTATCCTTGGAAATAATATATAGTCTTGAAATAGATGTGGAAAATACTGCTGTGCACTGCATAATGAAGGAGCGGGTCTCCGTTTGGAAATATGAAATCATTATGAAAGAGCACAGCACAGTGAACGGGATGTCACTTTGTGTAGTTGTTCACTACTTCCCAAGAGCTGGTGTTGTCTTCGTTGTCAAGGATCATAAATGCAACACAATCACAAGTGTTTCTTCAAGGTTTAGTGTTTAATGTCTCCCTGTATCCCATTTTTTGAAGCAGTTTGCCGCGGTAAATGGGTTTTTACCATTAAGTATGGTTCTGATTGAGGTTTCTGCCTGTTATAAAGGAAGTATACGCTTGTCCTGGTGCCAAATGATTGGTCTCTGATGATCTGTCTGACGCTTTTTTTGACATACAAAAGCAAACAAGACTATCAGCGAAGAGACTAATGAGTTTTTAATGCCTGAAACTGGTGCGAGGACGTAGATGTCAGTGGTGCAGCTGAAGAAACCGCCCTGTTTTGCATTTTAACCGTTCACATGAATCATATATTTGACTGTCAGAAGTCAGCAGGATGAGATTTTTTTGTCAGATACAACAATTTAAGCATGGAGAGGACAAAATAAAAGTAGACTGCGCAAACACCAAAAGTTACTTACAGGAACTTTAATATCGTGTAATTTGGTGTTGTATTCTGGTCTTTTTGTTCCTGACTGTTTCCTCAGTATTTTTTAAATTTCCAAAATATTGGTCAATTTCTATTCATTATTTTACAGATACTTTAGGATGACGTGTTGTGACCCAGGTTCCTTTGTAAGGCAATATCAAACAAAACTAACAAGAGCAATGATAACTAACCTTGTGTATGATGAATGGTGTAATTTGATTCGGAACAACCTGACACTCAACCCCAGTGATGAGGAACATAAGTGACAAACAAGACATGACAGTGAAAAGACCGCAACATGAGCCGCATTAGAGCAACAATAAAAAAACAGAACTTTATTATATCAGTACAAAAGCATTTCCCCTCAACCTACATACAAGGTGCTCACAGTCTAGTACAGCACCTCTGAATGGGTCGATAACATGTTGCTAACACACTTACAGGCACAAGTGAACATCGTTTTGGGAACAGTCGATAAATAAAGGTGCTAGAAGTTTTTTCTGATGACATTATTGCACAAAAAGTGGAAACTACAAAGTTTGTAGCTGACGGCATCATAACAAATGAAAGCATGCTGGAGAATTGTTGGTCAGGGCTTTCACAGGGCAAAGACGGTCTAAGTAAATATGCAGCTGCACCAATATAGCTGCTCTAAAGTGGCAGTGGTGAAGTGAAGAATGCTGTGGGAGGGATGCTGCTTCACCAACATCTGTCAGCTCTAAACATCACAGTGGACACCGCAGTACTTAACAAAAACTGGATTATTCCATTTAATCTAAATTAAATGTGCAATATCGCTTTTGTACAAATTTTGTCTGATGACTTTTCTCTTTGGTTGAGTGGTGAAAATCTCCAAATTATCAAAATTTTCCTCAAATCATAACAATAACGGTGAAAATTCTGGACTACCAGATCCATAGGAAGCATCTGGAATAAACACAGGTCAATATAATGATACAAAAGGCTATATAAAACTTTATTAGTATAAAGCATACAATACTGTTCAAATTGGAGTGTTACAGACACTAAGATACAAACTTTCATCTCATAATAAAAGAATTAATGTAATTCTGTGTTTCTAAAGTTGTGCTTCTCCCCCTCTACACTTTTACACAATCATCACTCAACAATATAATACAAATACATAACAATGATAAGTGTCGTCTGTTTTCACAAAAACTCGGCTATCTTGGGAAATGTCCCGACAGCTGTAAAGACAATTTTAAAAGCCGGTCACGGCTGAAAGGAAACTGTGGTTTGTGTCACTATTTACAGAATGTGCATGTGTAAGTGAATGTCTCTAACACGCTCAGAGCATTTCTTTGGTTGGCTCCTTGGGGTTGTCGTTGGCGGTGACATTGGTGAGTCTGACATTCTCCGGCGCTGTTTCCTGTCTGTCCCGAACTTCACCCTCAACGTGGAAACCGACCATCATCTGGTAGATCATCACGCCGATGATGGTGCCGAGGAATGGAGCGAACACGGGTACCAGGAACCAACCCTTTCTGGCCCTGAGAAGTGACAAAAACACAAGTTAGTTACGCAGATAAGCTTTTGAAGGCTGCTCAACATTACACTACACATTGACAGTTTCTTTGAGGTCATAATTAATTAGCACTTACGTAAAAACTTCACTGCCCCAACCGGCCATTGCAGTGAAAAGACGTGGTCCGAGGTCTCTGGCAGGATTGACAGCATACCCAGAGTTGAAGCCCATAGACAGTCCGATAACCAGAACCACAAATCCCACAGTGAAGGCCTCCAGCCCCTGGGGAATGGGGTTGTTGTATGGATCCACAATGGCCAGAATGCAAACTATGAGAGCAGCTGTGCCAATAATCTATGTTGGAGAGAGAATTGTTGAAGAAGTTATTATGAGTTGGACAGAGTCGCACCATTTATATCTATAAAACTCAAATTCATGATGTGATTTTCAAAAATTACCTGATCAAAGAAAGCGTTGACAAGGGTGAGATGTTTCCCAGGGTAGGTGGCAAAGATGCCAGCTGTGGCCTTAGGTCCAGTCACATTAAAACATCCAGGGTGGTCCCACAGAGCATCTGGAGGGTACAAATAACAGAATATAGCATCAGCATAATAGAGAAGACCAGTTTGTTGACTGAGTGAAACAATTATTTGTTAGTAAAGGGTTTCAAAACGTGATTTCCTTCTTCCTTACCGTAGTACATGCCGAATATGACAGCAGCACCAAAAAAGGCCCCAATTGTCTGAAAGAGGAAGTACATGGGGAACTTCCTCCAGCGCTCTCTTCCGAGCAGACACAGGGCAAAGGTCACAGCGGGGTTCAAATGGCCACCTGTAAGGTACACAATGTCAGTATCTCATTCTATTTTACAGATCATGGAGATGTAAAGGAGTAGCACCATTTTAATCAAGAAGTCCTGCAAATCTGATATGCCTTATAAATGCAGCTTTTTGAGAGTACTGGTCACCATGTCATACGTGATCATACGTGGAGAATGTGAAATTAATAACACAAGTTGTTTACCTGATACTTGGCCGCAGACCAGGATGCCCAAAGTAGCAGCAAACCCAAAAGCAAAGTTGACAGTGAGAAACATGCCATGAGATCCACCGCTCAACACCAACTGGGCCACAGCACCACAGCCGAACATCTGCAGACAGAGAGAAGAAAATCAGGATTAGACACTTACGCACATAAGAGTTTATTGGTTATCTCTATTATTCTTATGTGGAAGCAGCATCACATGAAATGGGCACATTTGGACCAAAGTCAGCAAGTCAAGGTCAGACCTTGTACAAAATACTGGGCAGAGAGATTGTTAACAGTGAAACCAAACTGAAACAAAGACCCTTATATGAGCTCTGCTCAGATGTAAATGAGCTCTTTTGTGTTCATAATGACACGCCCATAACCCTGGATATTCAGTAAGGTCGTTATGTTGACCTTATTGGGGAATATTTTCACTGCTGCTGCCTAGCTCTTAAATCTTGTACAGAGAAAAAGCTGATGTTCACTTTCCATGGAAATGGAGGAAAGTGGGCATAATGTGACTCATTTTAAGACAGATTTGAAGGGTTTAAGTTTTAGAGTCAACAGGTGCCATACTATTTATTCTTCGTAATGTGTGGTTAATGTCAAATGTAAGTCCCTGTGTCTGCTTTGCTTGTTTCAAAGAAGTCTGTGTGGTCTAAACTCTGCCCCGCTGCTCTTTCAGCCCCCTGATGAGGATACTTTTCAGACAGACCACAGGACTTACATTTTGGGGTAAGCCTGAGGTAACCGCACTCAGTGGGACTGGCGCCTGGGGGAAGCTCATCATCACTGGCCTCGCTCTAAACTCTTTTCCACCCCTGATGAGACTGGTCATGAGTGCAAAGTGCTTGAGCACTGGGCAGAACTGTGCCAAACTCTTTGTGTTGAGACGAATGTGTGTGGACAATAAAACATTTAAAGTTTGACTGGTCTAGAAAACTTTACGATTTCACCTCCATTTTTTTCTGAAGTCGGCGGGATCAGATTACAAATAATGGTCCATTAGCTTGCAAATGCCAACTTCCTGACTTGGATCGCATTTCACTAGAAAGGTCTTATTTTAAATCCCTCTCTTAATCTATGGGCAGCAAGAGATATTTTTTACCACTGAAGTGCTTTTTTTGGAGATAACTGAGTAGTTCTCTCCAAGTATTTTGGCTTGTAGCTACGTCCCTTTAACATTTTGTAAATTAATCATCAGCACCAAACTTTCCCCTCAAGCCAGACAAAACCTGACTGGCTGATTCAGCTGGTTAAGCATCCATGCGGCTACTCGAGGCTTTTAACACAGTCGGGATGCTTATAAAAAAGAACGGCAGCAGCCTGCCTACTGAGGCACACATTTGGGGTATGGTTTAGGAGCTGAAAACAAAGAATCTGCAGGTCTGAAACAAGCCTGTAAATCACTGCCTGTGTGATCTTTCTAAATTTGGGGTGGAGAGCAACTAATGTCTTTGTGAAAAAGTTAATTAAAATCTGCTTTCTGTTGATCTCTTGAGGAAAAAGAGAAAAAAATCCTTGTCTGATCCTGTAAAGTTGCTTTGAGCGACATGTAAAGAATGCTTCATCTATTAATAAGAGGTACACACACCCACTCACACACACCCTTACACTTGTTTCATATCTCTCTAAGCCATCATTGATCACTAGTTAATAATTACTTATAGGCTTAACATGATCATCCATTTAGATTAGAAGAAAAATTGATCACAGAGACCTTATCTGGAGACAAGTCAACAAAGATAAGGCTGGAGGAAAGTAAGTGTTTTGTAACGTCTGTTTGAGGAGGTTACATCATGACCAGCCATGTGTGTGCTATGATTTCTATTGTCCTACTGATGATCCTCCCTGCACTGCCAATGACATGTGTCACCTTAAAATGTCTCAGCCACACCTTAGTATTCAAAGCACATGCGAAGTTGTCTTAACATCAACTCCTGAATAGTTTCTGGGCTTGGATTGTGTATGTAAATATTTAAAGCCTTGTGTGTCAAGGTAATATATCAAACCTGTCGGAAATGCTGATTTAGATCATGCAAGTGTCTCCATCTGCCATGGAAAAACAATATCAGGCTGTAATCTTGATCTTTTCTTAATTTAATGAACATAAGAAGTGTCAATCGCTCCTGCTTCTTTCGTTCCTAAGTTTCCTTTATCCTGACACAGTTTGAACAATGTCGAGTATTGCGCCTCTTTTTACTCAACTTTTCATGGTTGAGTAAAAAGTTGTGAGAAAAGTGTCAACACAAGCATTCCTTGCCAATGTACACTTGCACACAGCCAAAGTAAAGAGATAATAGGAAGTCACAAGGTCTTTCATCCGGGATCTTGGATCCCATCTCCAAACAAATATTGCTGTATAATTGTCAGTATGGTTTGGTCCCTTTACATGCCATCCTAACCAACCTGTTTGTCTCCTTGCTTTAAATAAGCTGGCCAATGAAGTATTTTCTACATTTACACCCTGGTCCGATGTAATATAAAGACGGTCATAAAGACGGTGGAAAATCTTACAGTTTCTAGACGGTGCAAAAATTGTTTTAAATTCTGGCAGATAGACTTCTTTATGATACAAAGACACTAAAATATGAGTTTGATGCAAGGGTACTTAGAGAAAAGCAATAACTGGGGTCAGAGGTCAACTAATATCAACAAATCAAGTATTTCAAGGCTTTTAAAAAGAGCACAGACTTGGAGTGCGGGGATTACACCTGTGCGCACATTTACACTGAAAAAATATACAAAAAACACTTACCACAAGGATAAGGGTGCCTAGACACTCTGCCAGGGCCTGGCGGAGCAGCAGGTTACGGATCTGGAAGAATCGGGACAGTTTGTCCAAATACACCTTCTGTCTGCCCATGTTTTCTCGCTGGAGGCTGGTGAGACTGTGAGAAGATAGGAAGGTAGGTTTGTCCTCAGTGACAGTGAAGCTGGGAGGACCAGGGTTCTCTTATAGGGCTGAGATGGGCAAGGACTGGGCTGGTGCCAAAACTGAGCTGGGCCCCACCCTCTGAACCACGCCCCCCCCAGCCTGTGATTCACACTCTGGGCCGGTTTTCATCTGGTCCACTCTCTCTCTCCCTCTCGCTGTCTTTCTCTCTCACACACACACAGACTCTCACTCACACACTCATCACACTTCCAAATACTTTGCATTACTATACCTGTGAGCACTCCAGTGAGCTCATTCGATACATACCTGAAACCAGATCCTTCAGCCTCCTCAGCACATACCTATCCATAACTTTGGTTCAGGAGAATGTGATTTAATATAATCCCACGATAATGCCTGATTAGGAGAAAAAATACTAGTTGAACTGGTGTCGCTTGAACTGACTTTTTACCTTTGACATAATCTGTGTATAAGTACTCCGAACTTTTGACACTTCCTGGAGATTCTCTAAGCGATAGCTGCTGTATTTCCTCTTTCTTTGTTCCCTGTCTTTTCAGTTATTATAACCAAGTATAACTTAATTTGAAGAAACATTCACTATAGTTAAAAGTAATATCACAGTTTCAGACACCTGTTTCACCTGATGCAGCATCAAAACATCTTATACGACCAAATTTATTCATAAAAATAGTAGAAAATGCGAAATATCCCAAATCTGTATGTTTTACATCCTTTCAGAGAAATTTTGGTTCTTATGAGAGTGGAAATAAAACACACACACACACATAACTGTATCTGTTTGCAGTCCTCGCTCTTTTATTCCCACAGGTTCACACTCGTCTTTCTCTTTTCCCTTTCTGTCCCTCACCTCGTTTTCTACGACCTGCTCTTTTGTCCCCTGCCTGAAACTTCATCACCACATATTATACCTTCTTTGTCCGTTTTCAATGGAGGTGTGAGAACATTTCCAGCTTTAAAAGCCCACAGACATGCCTCTATATCAGCAGGAATCAGTGTACCATTTCTGTACTGTGTTTGGAGACTTCTTTTGTTCATGTTTGCTCTGCCTGTTTTGTTGTGACAATGGTGTACATTTTCAATTTGGATCTGCTGAACTGTTTCTGCACATATCTGCAAGAAGATTTCCATCATCATTTCCCATAAGAAAACCTATAAAATCAAACAGCTGAGTCAGATTTTATGTACACCTTAAAGTGAAAAACTTCCACTTCTCTGGCATGCATGGATGTATGTCAGTGAAAACAGGTTTAAAACATTAGCTCAGGTTTTGATTGATATTTGATGTTTCATCCCTTTAAACCTCGAGGCAATCTGAGTCATGTCTGTCACAGCGCCGGCGTCAAACCTACCTGCGTCATGACTGTTGTGCAACAGTTCATCTCAAACTGTTTCAATGCAGCCTCCATGGAGATGGGAGGGGCAGACAACGTGAGACATCTGCTTAACAAAGACGTTAATGAGAGTTTTTGGGAACAGGATGATTGTACTCCAAGTTGATGCATGTATTTAACAGAAACATGTGAAATGAATTAAACTGTTATCTCATGACTATACTGGCAAACACTGACCGACATTGCAATTGTGATTTTTGGCCCATTGCTGTTAGTTTCTATAAGAACGGCTACTTCATTACACCTTGTCTTATCCTCTCTGATTCCCTTTAGTTAAAGCTTGGCCTTAAATAATTATTCATAAAAACAATTGCTTATAGATGTGCACAAGATCTGTATCTATATATCATGAACTGATTATTAATTCTCAATTCCTGATCTGCTCCTGTCAATTGCTTAAAATATCTAATCCTTGTGTGACAAATTTGTCTAACATATTTTTGCAAACCTTTAAATCTGATCAGGGTTTCTCGAGTCACCCCGTTAAAAGATTTGGGGTTGCGTTTACTTGGTTTTTGTTTCTGTGATTCAGTCGACATCTCCAAAAGAAATCCCATCCCGAGGGCCAGAGGCGCAGCATTTTTGGTCCACATGGTTTCCAGCAATTTTTCTTGGAATGGTTTGGCTCAGACAGCGGGGAGTAAATGGGAGAAGGATAGGAATGGTGGCACCCGCAAACATTATAGAAACGATGTGGATTTCTATTGATTTTCTGCTGTAAATCATGACGATGAAGATCTGTTTGGTACATAATGTTTTTTATCTACGGATGAGTCTGAAATCCTCAGGAAATGGCACAGATAACTGATTTTAATGTTTGTGATTGATGGCCATGTGTACCATGTGTCTACCAGATGTGTTTGTCTCACATATGTGCCAGTCTAACAGTTGTTTTCCATCAGGTGCTGGAGGACATGACAGGCGTGGACAGGTGAAGAAAGACTGATATATGCTAGACAGACATACATCTGGCTTCCTGCCCATACATGCCAAACAGAAAAACTGATATAACCTTGAAAACAAAGAAACAATGACTGATACCTTTCGTCGCTGGTCAAGAGTCCAACGAAAAACACAAAAAAGTTCTGCTTATCCTTTCAAATCTTCACACAACTTATTGTTAAACTTGTGTTTGATTTCAGTACACCAGTTGACTAGAAAAACAATTGATAAGCTCAAGAAAGGCAGCGGTGAGAAAATTAAATCTGCAGTCATGTTAGTTCATGACAATGCTGACTAACGCGCTAAGCAGATTGCCATCAGACTGCGGTGTCATGAATCTTATCAGTGTGATTTCATCAGTTCGCTCGGTTCCTGGTAAAGCATTCATCTATTGTTTACGTGACTCACTTCAGGAAAGTCTGGGTAAAATAATGTCAAACAGACAGCGACTTGTGACATCTGTTTATGCATTAGGTTTGACGGTAATATCATCGATCATCACTGTGGATAACATAATTTATTGTACTCTGTTTTACACTCTATGTGTGGTGCAGAACACCTGTCACCAGTACGTTTCCACATTCTCCACTTTCTCTATAATTACTGGGCTGTAGTCATAAAAGAAGAACATACTTTCTCTGTCAACAGCTCCAGACGCACAAACACATAAACATCCTATGACACAGCTGGATATGTCAACTCGGCAATTAGGGATTTTTATGTGCTGTATTCTTCACAGTGTTGAGCAATTCATCGTCACCCTGTGACGAACAGAGCATACCTATACTAAGCTGTGGACCACCAACTTATTATCGCTCTCACCATCAGTGTGGTGGCTCACTCTTTATAAAGTCAGACTCAGCATTTTGGTTTATTTCTAAGTAGGCGATAAAGTTGAGCGCCAGGTTGGCCATAAAAGGTCCACGAGGGGGATTGTTTGGTTCTCCAGATATTAAAGGTTCTCATTAGACTGTACCACCACAAAGGTCAGGGTGACAAATCTATAATTGCTGTGAATCGACAGCTGAAAAATTGAAACAGGACCTCACATCCCATGTCTCCATGGTGTTGAAGATCTCTCTAGAAACTGAAGATCAGCACAGTGCTTAAAGCAGGAGGGCGTCAGCATGAAACTGGCTGCCCTGCCGGGTTGCCCCCTAAAACGTGTTTCTAACATCCTTCTCCATGAAAGAGAGAGCGGTTGCTGTCGTATAAGGGGAGAGGATGATTGAGATGTATGTTTACTGAGAGGTCGGAGCCTCTGCTGTGGTGGGGGAAGGGTTGGTTGAAGGATCGTCCCATTGTTGAATCAACAATTGAACTCTTTCAGGTCATTAGCGAAGCGTGGGTCGCTTTCACAATGTTGTGTGTGAGGGGGGTGTGGTTACGTGTTGCTGGTGAGCTGTCTGAGATCTGTCTAAAGGTGCTTTTTGGCCACAAGCATCCAGAACTTTGAGTACCAGGAGTGACGCTTCTTCAAGGAACTAAATAGTTTCTGTGACCCATAGACTGTATATACCATGGACGACTTGGCGCTGCCTTCCGTCATTATACAAATTTGAAGCCAAATCGCTCTCAGCATATCCAGGATTTTCTCCACTTCCTGGAACCACCACTTGCGCATTAGTATCGTACACAGTGTATCCCCTGCATGAGCTAAGCAATCTTCGTACATCCATAGGCTGTATCAAGTGTCAATCATAGAAACCATGAACCTCCTAATAACTTTTAAAAATGAAGCTGCACAAAAAAAAAAGAGGACCTGAGCACAAAACTGTCTTACAATAACTACATGTCAACATCGCAACCAGGGGGGAGAAAATGTGTATTGTGTAATTTCTAAATTTTGTCCACAGGTCCATTAAGTTTGCTGGAGGAGGCGGGATTTATGGCCTATACTGCAGCCCATTACCAGAGGGTGCTGTTTTGATGCGAGGAGGCAGACAGCGTACGTTCTATGTACAGTCTGTGGTAGTAGTCCTGAAAGTATCCCTGTCTGTTCAATCCAAGTGTGCCTTTTAATCCTCCTCACTGGTCCACTGTTTTCATTCAGAGTGGCTGCATGATAGGTGAGGGAAAATATATGATGAGGGATGTATTCTGTACCAGTTTCCTGTCTGGTTGGACATTAAATAAACTGTCCAAGGCTTGTTTAAGTCTCAAAGGACATATGGAGTCCAGGTTTTTCCTCACAAATGTAAATGTGAGTGTACATGTGAATATTGCTCAGAGTGTCACGTTTTGCATCACTCATCAACCGGATTTTATACTGACACTAATCACAACCCTCACTTGCAGATCAGATTTTATTGTTCTCTAGAAACTGGAGGAAGGTGTTAAACTGAAATCTTAGCTAAGCTTCCAGAGAGGAGGACAGAGATTGTCACGCAATGAGCAGACTCAAATCTTTCACTTTCTTACCTATGGAAAAAAAAAAAAGATGTACCACTTTGGGTATAACACAGAGGTCAACGGTGTTCTGGTTACTGCCGTTAAAGACCAATGAACAAATATTTTTACTATATCTTAAGTCTACAGATTGCGGTGCAGTGGTTTGGATTTATACTTCACAGCTAAAAGGTTCTGAGTTCAATCTAATAATGTGGCTTTTGTGGTGTGATTACCTTTCAGTTTAGTCTGGGCTTGACTCTGAATCACTTTCCTGACACTATTGTCTGTGCTAAGATCTAAACTACGATAACCTGATGAAATAAAAAGGCTTAAACAGGCAAGCACTGCAGGGCAAGTATGTGGTTTTTCACACTACTGTCTTACATAAAACTTGTTGAGAGCTGGACTGGCGTCTTTCCATGTACAGCGAAAGTGATCAAGCTTTCTCCTGATGAATCCTGACTGGGGCTTTTCTATGTGGAGAAAAATGTTTCTGTCTTCCTTCGCCATACTGACCTGTGGTGTTGTGGTTCAGGTTGAGTAAAATAGTTCTGGGTTTGAATTCACTGCAGGGACAGTGCAAGACTGAGGCAGAAAAAGTACTAGGTTGAGGCAGGGATGATTCAAGGATGAGGCCAGGAGAACAAAGGGAAAAGGCTGGTAGGTAGATAGGTGGGAAGAATGAGGATACAGTGACAGGAATTATTCCATGGCCAAATCCCATCTTAGGTTGGGTCATGATAAATCATAAAACAATGAGTGTGGTCTAGACCTGCTCTTTTTCTTTGGAAAGCGTCTTGGGATGACGACTGTGAAGTGGCGCTATATAAATAAAATTTTATTGATTTATTGAAATAGAAACACCTTCACCTGAGGGAACACCTCTGAGCGTTTCAGTTACCAAGTCAGAGAAAAAGCAGAATTGGAGAAACAAGATGGCTACATCTACGAAAGTTATTTTAGCACTCGCCTTGACCGAATACAAGGCGAGCACTAAAATAACTTTCATAGATGAAGCCATCTTGTTTCCGGCCTCCGATTTAGCTTTTTCTGCCTGGTAACTGAAACGCTGGGAACTCAGGTGTGACGTCATTTTCAGCTCCGACATCTGACTTCCGAGGTAACTCGAACGCAGCATTATTCCAAGGAATCTGGGGACTTACGGAAAAGTAGTCTGATAACATGTAATCTCTCTTGTAACCCGAGCCTTTTGGAAAAAAAAGTTTTCTGGGAACACGCTATTCAATACTTCATTAGTATTGAATCAATGACATGTAAAAACAGAACTTGCACAAACAGAACTTGGGAAAATCAGATAAGGTGATCTGACTAATGTGCTCAGAATCCTTGCATCAGAGTTGTCTGTTTACATCTTATTTGAGAGCATTTAAAGACAGAAATTAAATTAGCAAGTAACCTATGTATTTGTAACAGATTAATGATTCAGTCTGATAAATTTAGCATTCTTATTTGTTTTTTTTAACTCATTGGGCTTCTGTAATTCATGTATTATTCAGTATGTCTGAGTGATAACTGGATCTTATTTCAGACAAAGAAGAGAGGCAAAAGAATAAATGTAAATCAAAGGTTGGATGCATTTATTCTGCACAAACAGGCTCCACAAAACAAAGACACAAGTCGTGTTTTACAGCAATATTATAAAAACTGAATTAGTCCAAAGTTCTTCAATATTTCATGTTTTCTGTCCTGATCTGTCACATAAAAAAAGGTATTGATACGGTCTGCATGCTGAAAATGCCTTTCAGCTTATATGTATATGTTATATACCTTGTATAAGTGATGTGTGTGTATATGTGACCATATCTAGAATGACCATTTCTCAGTCCGAGCCTCCACTGATTTGACCAAACCCTTTCCAATGACCTGGAAGTCCTCCAAAATGGCTTCAACGTTTGGAACGGTGTTTGCTTCGTCCCCGGTCACTTGTACGCTCCGAGCAGACACATGTGACGTCTGCGATGTGCAACCAAGGAGAAAATAGAGCATTGGGTCAGAGGGAGGATGTGGACACGTGAGCGAATGGATATGGAGACGCATGCAAAACAAGGCAAGCGGCTAACAGTTAAAAAGGATCTTCTCTTACATGAATGCTTTTGAATGGAGGACATGAATAAATTAGAAATTACCTTAAAGGGCGCAGGGATGAAGGCTTTTGGCTTCCACACGACTGCGATCACTGTTCCTCCGTAGGGGTCACAGAAGAAGAGGGCTAAGTCCCCGAAAGCCTCCTGAAATCAAGTTTACTGATTCAGTGGAAGTCTAGCATACAAAGTCGACAAAATCACATAAAACCTTGCCCATTTAATAACTGTGATTACATTTTAAATGTTATACATGAAAGATGTGGCAGAAGTCCTTTTATTCCATTCGAGACGACAAAGATAAAGTCATTTCTGAGTGCATGACAATGAAAATGTTCAACTTGAAGCCAACTTTTACACCTGTTTAGTGTCTACATGGTTTCTATGTAATCCACATAAAGCAAAATTCAGGCCTATGTGTCAGTAGTTTGTGATCATTGTAAGTGAAGCTTAATTTTACTGGGTAACTCTCATCTGTCATAAATTTTTACTGTCAGGAAGCTTTAAAATAAACTTCATACCTCTTCAGTCCAGCTGCAATTAGTTTGTGTAAATCCTGCTGCACAGCTTTTGTCACATCCTGTCAACAAGGCGCTATTAAAACCACACCTTCCTTTTAAACATCCCTCAAACACGAGACTCACCCTCAGCTCTGCCAGGTAGAGGGACACCGGGTTGTAATCCACAACGGGCAGGGCTCCTCCAGATGAGTGTGCAGAGCCGGGCATTATGCCCCTACTGTAGGTGACGGTGGGGGGGTCTACTGCCTGGCTGAGCAGGGGAACCTGCTTGGGGTTCAAGTGGATCAACACATCGTAAGCATCCAGAGGAGGGCGCATGACCACCTGTACAAACACAGACAAGAGCATCATGAGGTTAAAATGTCCAAAGAATAGAGTGATGAGTGAAGAGGAGGAGGGTAGTATCAGATATTACTCACCCTGACGTCTTGAACCTGGCTGCTGTCCATCAGCTGTTGCTCCAACACCTTTAAACTCTCTGAAGCCACCATCACAACGCGCTGCAGCATCTGAAGACATGAAGTTAAAGGTGTGCTTGTGAACCATGGTGTATTCAAGTGAGGTAAATGAATAAACACTTGAATTAAAACTATTTCACAAAACATGTTGAACTAGAACAATAGCTGATACACTGGAGCTATAACATGAAGAGCATTTTACAGAGCAATATCCAGCTAAAGTATTACAATGAGCTGCCAGCTGTTCATTTTTCCCAACTAATGTTTTGAAAACAGTCGTCAGATTTTGATCAGAATAAAAGCTGTATGAAGTTATTTTATCACTTTTAACTAGAGGAGGGAACTTAAACGCTTGTTCATAGCTAAACTAAGAAGATATGAAAGTTTGATAACCCTTTAAAGTGGATTTAGATTTGCATTTATAAGATCTCTATCATTCCCAAGAAGCTACTTGGTTTGCAACAGAAGTCCACACAAGAATCCGACAACAGCACTGGAAATACATATTATCAAAATAATACTTTGTTTATCCATCATTTTGAAGTCTTTAGCTGAACTTTTGGTCTGCATTGATGACAACTAAGGAAAACTAAAAGTTCATCTTGCTTTCTTTTAGCACTCGTTCAGACTCTTTGCCATTGAAAATTTAAAAACCAGTCTGTTTTTGCAGCATGCGGTTAATCTTTCAATCTGTCCCCTCACTGACCCCGGTGGTTATGAGCATTAAAACTGTCTATGTAGAAATAATCAGTCTTTATTTTGTTTTTGTTGCTTTTGTAGGTCATAAAGAAGCATCAGTTTCAATTACAGTCTGTTTTATAATCATCTTAAAGCTCCCAATAAGACCTTTAAACAAACTTCTACAACACTGTCACCCCAGTTGTGCTTAACTTGAGTCATTCAGTGTTTTAAGTCAATGGGACTCTTTTCCAGCTTCTCTCCTTTCGACCCAGTGATGGATCATCTTCTCTCCGTAGAAATGTGCAATTAAGTTCAAATTAACTTGAAATCACTTTCTGGTTTTATCATGATGAATCATGTTAATGTGCAGAGCTTGTTAACATTTCTGAGGTATAGAAAGCATCTTGTGTGTTTAGAATGAAACTCAAATATTCATTCTTTATCCCTGACTCCCTTCAGCACAATCTGCTCCCTGGTGGTCAATTAAAGAACTGATCTAATTACGAACACACTGAGCCGAACATCCACTCACCTCAGCTGTTTGTTTTAAAACAACCTCTTTGTTGTGGACTTCATTAAAGTGCGCATGTGAAATTCAGAAATAAAAGGTCTATGACATCCATGTATCTAGTATATTCAGGAGAATAAAGATTCTCCTGAATATGAATATAGAAATGACCCTGATTAGAATAAACATGCAGAATAAGGCCCCTGAATGACGCCTCTGTCAGGACGTCACGGAGCACAAAGTTCCTGCTTATAAAGCAGGATGCTGGGAGAGGCGCAGCATTAATGTTGGTCTTGTTAGAGGAGTGAGGTGGTCCAGTACAGGAAGCTTATCTGGGTCAACTACGCACCATGGGCAGCTGGTTTGTGTATGTTTTTTGTGCGCTGGTGTGTGCCAACGGACTCTTTTACAGCTACGGTCACATCCAGACAGAGGAATACAGACCGAAAAATTTACCTTATTTCTCCACAGCAGAGGACAGCAATGAAAAGCAACTGGTGAGCTACACCTGATGGTCTCTGAGACTCATTAGTGTTTCACTTTCAAGATCTTTAAAAAGGTTGTTGATGTAATATTTGGTTTTGGATAATTATCTTTTACATTCTTGTGGCATTTTGTTTCAATTAATGAAACAGATTTATTTCCATTTCTAGATCAATGATTTACACGAAGTTTTGGAGAGACTTCAGAATAATCAAATTCCAGCTCTGAGGAAAAAGCATGGATTTCTTCCTGTGGTATGTACATCTGATCACATCAGTAAATTAACTCTTGTATGACAGCACAGTTAGTCTATTCAGGGCAACATGTTTCAATATGTCTGACTTTGATTTCTAATGTTTTCAGTGTGATCCAGGTGACCAATGTGCTCTTAGAAAAGGCTCCAGGATTGGGAAACTATGTGACTGCTCCCTGCCCAGAACATGTAACTCTTTTCTACACCGCTGCTTGTGATTTTGTGTACCTGTATGATTTCTAATGACAAGCAGTATAAAAAAAAAACCTCAAGCTTGTGACTTTCTGTATATGATATTGATTCACTGGTTTTGTAATTTCTTTAAAAGTTAACTCACTAAATTTTAATATTTTATCTTTTTTTTATCAATGAGTGAAAATCTATTAAAGGTTATAATTGTGTAAGCCGTGTACTTGTTTTTGTGCGTGCACTGACCTGTACGCTTGGTGCTCTCTTGGTCCACAAAGATAGTTTTTTATCTTTAGGCGTAGCTATAAACATGACGGGCAGAGACTCCCTGGAGGCCATGAAATCATTTTTGATCTCTGTATAGTCAGCAGCTACACGTGAGGGAGAGAGGATAAACAATCACTTGACCCAGCAATGGATATGAGCAGGATGTCAAAGTATGTCGGGTGTGTAAATAGAAGGAGGTCAGAGGCGATATGTTTGTGTGACACAGAGGGGGAAAGAAATGTGTGTGTGTCAGAGAACTTGCCTGTGAGCTGGTTGTTTAGGTTGACAACCAGCGGGTTGTTCCTCCAGTCAAAGGAAGAGAGCAGATGAAGGAAGCGAAGGAAGCCGGCCTGAGGAGAACTGAGAAGGACAGAGAAGTTCATTCACATGACCTACTGAACGAACAAAGACAAGTAAAAACACAAACAAACGAGACAGTGGCTTAAAAAAGTAGAAAATTACCCAGGAGGTGTAAAGGGTGAAGGCTGCAGGAAAAGCGACGCCACCAGCAGGTCTGACGTGTCCTCTGTCAGGTCGTCGCTGAAAAGCTGAGCCCCGAGCCAGCGTTTGGCCAGGCGGCATGTTGCCCCAAAACACGGGTATTGCTGCTGAAGCCTACCAACGACATAAAACACTTAAAATGACGCAAGAAAAAGTAAAGAAAAGAAACATTTGGGAGACTAAAAGTGAAGAATTGAAGTTAGAGGAAAAAAATGCTTTAATGCAGCACATGATGTTGAATAAATTTAGGGAAATAATAGGAACCGAAACCCCTGCTTTATCATACAAACATAGACAAATAGTACATAATGCTTCCAGTTTTACCCATGCAATGTGCTGGTAAGTAGGGGCTTGTGAATTGTGGACATCTCCAGAGCCTGAGCCTCCTCATTGTCCCTTACAACCAGCAAACCCTCAGCATTCACGCTCTCCCTCAGCACCTGAGGCTCACGGTGGTAAGCCACGTGGATGCGGAACACAAAGCCGTCCTGGTCGCATAAGCAAAGTGGGAAACAGTGTTGATAAAGAGTAGTGATTACAAAAACAAAAGGTGCTGACTATTTGCATGACACGCACACTCATTTAAAAATGTACCTTAAACACATCCAGGTGTTTGGGGCAGGGCCTGTAAGTATAATTATGGTTCTTCTGGAGTAACTCGCCCAGGCGGATGTGAAAAGCAGCTCGGATATGGCGGATGGCGGTGCTGTTGTGTGGCCACTTTCCGCTTCCCTCCATGTGACAGATCACTTTAAGCACAGGATTGCAAAACATTTGTGCAATAGTCTTGATAGTTAGATGTTCCTCTATAATAAAAGACTTGGGGAGCAGCTTTGCCTGTCATTTTCAGTGACATTTAAAAACATTTTCTTTCATTGTTTTGGTGCAGATGTTATGTTTCTATAAAAGGAAACTGATTTAGAATTTCTTGGGAGATTAAAAAAAAACTACCTGTGATTGGAGTGATGTAAACAGGGCAGGGTTTTTCTTCTTTTGGTACCAAAGCTTTAGAATCCTTTTTTCTATCAAAGAAGGAATAGTCCAGTTTCAGTGGCACAGGAGGAAAGACCTGCAGGAACAAATTCAAGTGTCAAATGAATATCATCAGATTTTAAACACACCTTCAGGTTTCAGCATAATATAGTTATAGTTCTAGTGTTGAACAATTTTGACAAATGAGGTCGAATGAATAAAAAAAAAACGTTCCTGGGTCAAAATCAAGGTTTACCTGTGTGTATCTTAGAGCAGGGTGGGCTCCTTGCACTGCTGTGATGGAGAGAGGCAGACCCTCCAGTCCCCACAGTTTTCTACTCAGGTCATCATAAGACTGAACCACCTTTAAACTCTCCTCCTCCCCGGTGCTAGGTACCTAAAGAAAAATACACAATCAGGCCTTAGTATAATCTTAAGGAATCATTTTAGGGCTCAAAGTAATTTTCATTATAAGGGGAGAGTGGGGTAAGATGAGCCATTTTTCACATTTCGGATCACTACATCAAGGCAATCATAGTTTTGTCTCTAGATACTAGTGTATCTGCATATATTTCAAGATGTCGTGCATCCTTGCAAACCAACAGGATGAGTGTAAACATAACTGTATTGATAATATAGCATGCCAAAAAAAGTGGTCTCCTATGGTCAACTTACCCCATGTATGGGGTAAGTTGATCATAGGAGCGGGGTAAGTTGAGCCGTATCCCTACTATCCCCCTCACTCTCCACCCCAGCCCTCCCTCACCTTCTCTATCCCTAAATAACACTTTTTTACATTCATGTGTATTTTTATCTGTTATGCACTATTCAACTGGTATAATAATTCTTTTTATTATTACTGCATGTAACTGTTAAAAAGCTGTTTTGTAAAAAAAAAAAAAACATATTAACATGAGAATGCCTGTAAGTGATTCAGAACATTCACAGCTGTATTTTTTGAAAAGATAAAGTAACACACTTCAACAATCTGAATTGAAACTCTGATCCTCTCACCAGACTCCTACCCCAGAACTTCTATTCCAACTTTATTAGTCCTCTCAGCTAAAATGTGGAACTTTTTAGGCTAAGTTTTTGACCTCATATTGTAGCTCATAGATACCACATTTGATGTATAATGAGTTCAATTCTAATATAACTTATGACAGACTAAATTCACTTTCAAGAGTGAAAAAATGTTTTTTCTGGATATAAATGTCGAGCCCCTTCACTCATGTGCTTCTAACCTTCACAGACTCCATGAATTGATGCCCATCTCCTAAATATTTGGTCACATGATCAATATATTTTACCATTTCCAAGCAACAGAGGGTGGCTCAACTTACCCCACTCTCCCCTATAAAATGAAAACCTGAGTAAACCAGCTAAAGTTAAATAAAAGATTTGTGGAAGTTTTGAAAGTGGTGGTTGATTAGTTGAGTGAAATAACAGCAAGTGAATGCATCATTGATTAGGGTTAATCCAATTAAAACAGAGAAAGCTTTATAAAACAAGACGATTAATGAACAGGACTAAACTAGAACACAAAAACTGCACCTTCTGTTGTAAATCTACTATCCTAAACATTATATTATGATTATTTTTTACAGTAGTCGTTATCTTTACATTACATCTGATATTTATTAAAAATAACTTGTATAACAGTCGCTGAGATTTTCGGTTTTACCTCACTTCCCGTTTTGATGACGTCATCCACCATCGCCCCCACATACCGCACACAGGACTCGGGGATATCTGCATGTCTAGAGGATTAAAAACATCGTTTTTACTAGTCCTAAACATTTATCTTATGGCACATGCTGAAGTTAAACCGAGCGGGTCTCATGTTTCCCCTCTAACGACACTGAAATCCATTCATTTGATGCCAGTAGCGAGCCGGCTAACGTAAAAACAACAATGGATGCTCTTTAGCGGCTGCAACACAAACATGAAACGCGCAGGGAGGAGACGGAGCTCCGTGTGGGACTGCTTCGAGCAGGTCGGGAGCTTCGTCCGCTGCATGAAATGTGAAGCCACGCTGAAGTACTGCGGAGGAGCCACCAGCTCTATGATGAGCCACATGAGCAGACACCATCCGTCTCCGACACCGTCAGACGAAGACGAGAAGCCGGTGATCTCCGCCCTCCATCAGAGCACCGCCGAGGATAGTCTCCCTCATCCGGACATCATGCAGGTCTCTATAATGTCACCCAACATCGGCTTGACCAGCAACCCTAACCCTGAGCGAGACTACGGCGAGAGGAAGCGCCTGAAGAGGAGCTCCGTGTGGGACATTTTCGTCCGAGTTGACGACGAGGTCCACTGCACTGTTTGTGACACGAAGCTAAAATACAAGAGCAGCACCACCAGCATGATGTACCACATCAAGAACAAGCACCCTGACACTGCCACGGGTGATGGTGTGTCTCTGTCAACGCACACAGAGGTGACCGAGCTCATCTGCAGAATGATCGAGAAGGACATGCTCCCCATCAGTGTGGTCACTGGGGATGGATTTCGTGAACTGCTTGCGCACACTGTACATAACTATAAAATCCCCTCAGCTGGAGATTTTACTCGCCTAATCGAAGGTCATTTCCACGAGAAGGCGGAGGAGCTTGTAATGCAGCTGGGTCGGATGGAGAAAGTGGCTCTGACTGCTGATATCTGGACAACCCTCCCATTCCAAAGGTATATGACAGTTTCCTGCTCGTTCATAACAGAAGACTGGAAGGGTAGATCAGCCGTGTTGCAGACGTGTAAACTATCATCAGACAGCCGCAACACATCCGATAATATCACAGGGAGGCTTGTCAACATCGTGCAGAACTGGGGTCTTGTTGGGAAAATCGCTGCATGTGTTCATAACTACACAGAGGACGTCTTGTTGGCCCATCCAAGTACCTTTTTCACCTGGGACTACGCCACTTGCTTTGCCACCACATTGCAGCTCGCGGTCAACGACGGCCTGAGTGAGGATTTGACCCGGATCACTGCAGCAGCCGGGAAACTCGTCAAGCACTTCAGCCACAACATGCTGGCTAGTAGAGCTTTGGAGCAGAAACAGGTTCAGATGTGCCTGCCTCAGCACAAGCTCATCCGTTCGCACAAAGCAAGATGGGACACCATCTGCGACATGTTCGAGCGGTTACTCGAGCAGCGGTGGGCCATCAAAGCTGTGCTCTCTGATCGCACCATCACCAGCAGACAGGAAGCTCAGAGTCTCGAGTTGGGGGATGATTGTTGGCAGATAATCGAGAATTTCACACCTGTGTTGGCAACACTAAAATGGGCAATTACAGTCACATCTGCTGAAACAGAAGTATCTATTTCCAACATCTATCCAATCACATTCAGCCTCATCCAGAACCACCTCATTCCAAAAGAGAATGATGTGGAGCAAGTCTCAGAGTTTAAGCTGAAAGTTCAGAAGTCTCTCAGGATTCACATGGAGGTAGGCGAATCAGAATGATGCAAAGATTGACTCTTAAAGGGATATTCCGGCATAAAATTGATTTAGGGTCAAACACTAGGTAACACAGAGTTAGACACCCCCTCGAGAGATGAATGTTGCTGACTGCTTGCTTCTCTAGTTATACAAACGTTAGTAACAACTGCAAGATAGCAATACACAGTGGTCTGGGGAGCCATAAACAAACCTCAACCAAAACGCCACTCTAACTTTGCCTAATTTCTTTAGCGAAGAGACTAAACACAGCTCACCTACTCTCTTCCAGCAGCCGCTTGTTTGTAGCGAGACCTCCGGCCAGTCAATTACGGACTACAGCGGGGTGCATAGCTCAAGGAAGAACATTTATAATCATTTCTTTATTGTTTCCTTGAAATAATAATCTGATTGCATTTCCATGAAGAGATGATCATAAATGTTCTTCCTTGAGCTGCGTCACCCCGAAGCAGTCCGTAATTGACCGGCCTGGGGTCTCGCTACAAACAAGCGGCTGCTGGAAGACAGTAGGTGAGTAATGTTTAGTCTCTTCGCTAAAGAAATTAGGCAGAGTTAAAAAGATGTTTGGTGGCTAGTGCTATGGCTGGGACCCTTTATGTACTGTTCTGCTGTGTATTGCTATCTTGCAGTCGTTACTAAAGTTGGTATAACTAGAGAAGCAAGCGGTCAGCAACATTCATCTTTCAGGGGGTGTCTATCTCAGTGTTACGGTGTGTTTGACCCTAGAATATCCCTTTTAAAATGGTAAACTCTCTACTTCCTCTTGACATAATATTTGTTATTTTATTGCTTACAGGTTGACTCTAATGACTTGGCCTCCAAACCAGCTCTGATTGCCTCCATGCTGGACCCGCGACACAAACATCTCAGCTTTCTAACACCGTCAGGGAGACTGGCTGCAAAGGTTAAACTGCATGAGCTGGTTTCCAAACAAGACGTGTTAACCTCAGCTGTGGTCACTAAAGATGAGCAGCAGGAGACCCCCATAACAGCAGGCATTAGTCATGTCGCTCTGCCCTCTCAAATGAGAAGTAACACCAAAAACACCATGATGTTACTCCTGGGGGACAACTACAGTTCCTCCTACGCCACAGACTCAGAGGCCCAGGTGGATTACTACCTGAGAGACATTGCTCCGTCACTGGACATAAACCCTCTTGACTGGTGGAGGGTGAATGGACCAAGATTTCCCAAACTGGCCACTCTGGCGAGACACTACTTGTGCATACCAGGGGTGTCGCTACCATCTCTGTTGTCGGAAGCTGGACAAACTTTTGCGTCAATGCGTACTCGACTGAACCCGGAACATGTTGACATGATGATCTTTGTAAACAGAAATTTACAGCTTGCATGACCTGTCATATTTGAGACATTTAAGGGGGGAGCATTAGTGCAGCATGAGCTCCACCACTCTTCATGTGTTCTATAATGTGCTTACAAGGAAACATTCAAGTACATTAGCATATTTAATTCTTATTAACAACATAGAGACCTTGAGATTTTTCTTATTGTTGGCTGAATCATCTGGCTTTAAGCAACAGGGAGTGAGCCGGAGGGCAAATCATATCTACAACATCTTATCTTAGAAACACAAAGAGTACAAATTCTTGGGATTTAACATCAAACATCTGGTTTAAGTAAATGTCTAAAGGAGGGTGTAACACACCTGGTCGACTTAAGCACAGGTATGGTGTTGCACATCAGAAGTGCAAACATTAATTGGAAAAGATGTAAAATTTCCAGGATAATGATAAAAGACACAATGATACTCTATGAATTGAGGAAATCAAGTTTTTCTCCCTACGATATTTTAACTAATATTTTGTATAATCAAAACAAGTAAGTTCTCATTGACCAAAGCAACTACTGTATTATCACCACTTTTGAAGCCATGCCTGTTATATTGCCCTTTGTATTATGCCTACATTAAATACATACAGCTGTAGTAGGTGTGTGACGATCTGTTTTGGGACCAGTTGCTTTTGGCACATGCTCTCTCCTTCCCACAGCACGGCCTCTGTGATGGCACCATCCTGGAAGCGACGCAGCTCAGAGCGAGGACCCCAAAGCTGACGAAACTCTGCAGCCTATAGGACATGTCATTGTTACATTGTGAGTTACGAAAAGAGCATGAGGAATGCATACAAGTTGAAGAAATATGTGTAGAAAAAGGAACTCAGAAAACATGCAAGAAGAGTTAAAGTTCTGTGAAGTGATGTGTCTATTCGCATGTTACAGTAGCTTTTGAAGAGTGCAATGGTAGTTATGCTGGAAATAAAGATGAGCTGTTTCCACAAAGTTGTATTTGTGTCATTTGGATAGTATTTCATTTCTACAGAAAATTACAAACTCATAAGTAGTTGATAAAAAAAGAAGGCACCAAGCAGAAAAGTGTGATACTCATTAATAACAGAGAAGATGCTGCTACTACTACTGTGTACTAGTGTACAATTGGACTCGAGAGTTGAACTAAATTATGATGCATATTTTACAAAGATATCAGGTGATCCACATACAAAGAAAAAAAGGACAGGTAAGACTACCTTGGGGCTGTCTGCTGGGGGGCCTCTCTCTAGGACAGAGACCGCCAAATCCGGTCTCAAGAGCAAACCAAAGGAGAGTGGAGGTTGGGCTTTGTGTTTTGGGGCATCGCTTTCCACAGACCACTGTGAGAAGACAAAGTTTCAATATTGTAACTGAGATTTTAAGTATGATTTTCAAGAGTATTTAAGTTTGATTTGCAACTTTGCAGGAGACTGGGAAGGTCTCAGGTCAATGAAAGGCCTATATAGAGGGCTGTATCTCTAAATGATAATGGGATTAAGTTCCTCTGTGTTCATGTTGAGAAAGTGTGTCTCACCTCAGGGTCAGGAGACAGGGAGTGTGTGAGAAGATGGATCCTCTGACCCAGCCCTTGTTGAAGCAGTGACAGAATGAAAGGCAGTGCAGTGTGGACATAGTTTCCACTGTGGTCCATCAGCTCACTGAGGAGATTCAGCTTCTTACAGCTGGACTGAAGCTTTGCCAGCTCACACAGCCTGAGTGGGAGAAGAAAAAGATCGTACATAACAGAAGATCTGACAGGATAACGATAAGAAACCACCAAGGATGTGTAGTTTAGTGAATAGAGCCGTACTGAAACACATGATCGCTGGTTCTTATCATGGGTTTAGGGGTCATCAGGAGGCTGTGAAACCCGTCCACCGTTGGGTCATCCCAGAACTGCATCGACACAGACGCCTCGTGCTGCAGCTATTAAAAGAAAAAAAAAAAAGGTCAAACCCTATCGCTTAATCTCACTGGAGAAGAAAATAACACCCCATTTATGCTTGCCTGTTTGTAGGTGCAAGCAGTCATGTCAGCGCACATGTTGAGATGTCCAGAGGGGTCGATAAACACAACCTGGAAAGCACTGTGGAACTCTGACAGAGATGGCTGGAGGAAAAAGAAAAGGAAAAAAAGACAGATTGGACTGTTATGTGGTGATTTGTTAAGGAGCTACATTCACAGGTTCCTTGATATAAAGGTCAGGAAGACCACTTACAGCTGTGGAGTCAGGGTCTTTTGCGAGGCTGATTCCATTCACTGTAAGGTCTGTAGAAGCTGCAGTCAGAATCAAAGGAGAGCAAGTTGCCAGTTATTCAAAGAAGGGATGCGAGTACAATGTCTACACATCAACTGGCCCTTAATAAAAAAACAGCCTTTCAGTATATTTTGAATTTGCTCACCTAAGAAGTTCAAGCTGTTTCGTAGCAGCTGATAGGCAGTCATGGTGTTGCTGATTCTGTGAGTCATCAGCAGATAACTCAACAGCATCGAAGCCAGGAAACCATTAAAACCACCAGTGCCCTAGAGACATTGAAAAACAGAGTTCTGGTAAACCAAACTATGTAAGTGCACAGAAAAGCTGATAGCTGTGAGCAACAAATGAAGGGGCGATTGCAAGCCCACTACCCACCTGATCAAGCTCTCTTTGACGAAGCCAGACTTTGAGTAACGCCACCCCATCAGAAAAAGCAGAGCACTGGGAGCTAACAGCTGATAGAAACTGGAGGTGAGCCCTGGGCAGTAAATCTCCTAGAATAGTACTGTTGTAATGCGGTGTAGGAGGTTCGCTTCTTTCTGTGAAAAACAAATAAGAAAATAAATCAACCCCACTGATAGGGATATTCCAGATGAACTTTCATTCAAAATCAAGCAACAATTTATAATACCAGTTAGGGATGTCTGCATTCCAGTGTACCACTCTGTCCTGATATTGTTCCTCTGCGGATGGAAACGGTTGGGCTTAAAGAATCCAGGAGGTGGACAAGCATGAACTCGTAGGGTGAAGCTGGCTGTGTCTTTACCTGAAAGATGCCAATGAATTTCAAAGCTTAACAGATGCAAAGACAACAAAATACTCTCAAATCCAAACAATAGAAATATCTTAGCTGTGAGTCAGGGGTTTAAATATGTTGGAAATTATATTTTATACCCGAAGCGGTCAGCAGCAGAACAGGACGGAGTCGATTCCCATGGAGGCAGGAATAACGTGTGGTCCCAATGTCTGATGAGGATATTAGGTGCTGGGCTAGACCTGCCAAATAAAGAGCCCTTTTCCTTGGATACCTCTGGTTCAAGATGTCCTTTGGGTGGAGGATCTCCTGATAGCCGAGAGATGTGGGGAGAGAAAACACCCAACTCTTATTGACTCAAATCTGTACTGCTATATTGCATTCAGTGCATGACATTGCTTTCAATAATCTGTACATTCCAAGATTTAGTGCTTACTTACAGCTGGGATTGTGACAGCCAGGTCCACCACAATATGTGGTTTTGTGCATGTGCCCAAGGGGTAGCTGCCGATCAGGTCAATAGATGCAGGAGGTGCCATATGGAACTTGCCCTTTGTTATGCTGGGCACCAGGAGGAAAGGGACCTTGACTGCATCAGACAGCCAAGACAGGTCACTCACCTGAAAACACAGAGTCATTGAGTAGAAAATACATTCACAGATTTTATTTGTAGAAGCTGCATGAATGAAACAGAACCTCTGCAGCTGATCAGAAAGCTTTCTTACAGCATAGCTACTACATACCTCAACCTCTGCAGACTCCGGCACAGTTTGGAGGAGCATGGTGACTTTCTGAACGAAGGAGTCTATTTGCTGTTTCCTACGCTCACTGAGGCGGACCTCTTTTAGCAGCTCCTCCATCTGTTATTGGTGACAGATTGTAGACATTTAATAATAATAATAATAATAATAATGCATCAGATTTCATATAGCGCTTTATCAGAGACCCTCAAAGCGCTTTACATTGGATACATCATTCATTCGCTCACACAGTCACACTTTGGTGGTGGTAAACTACCCTCTTATATCTGTGTTGATGTGATGGATCTCACCTGCATTTTGAGCAGACTGCAGTGAAACAGGCTCTCTGTCTCTTTCAGCTGGTTTAGCTCCTCTGCTGTAGGGGGTCTGTACAAATCGCTCCTTGACAGTTTTACCGGGTGATAGACCAGCTCCTCCTCGGCAGACTCCTCACGTTTGCCCTTTTTGGCTTTAACAGGAGCTCCATTTCCATCTTCTTCATCGGAGGAGTCTGTTGGTATCATCTGTAAAATAACAACGGCAGTCGTAGAAGTGAAACTAGTAGCAGTACAATTCAGTTTGTTCCTTTAACACAAATGTGGGATAAAACGTGATTTATGTTATGTTTTAATCTAATAATAAGTAAATATTGCATCGACAAGAAGTTGCACACAGGGTGAGGTTTAGTATATGTAACATTTTCATTGAATTTTAAACTGAGAGCAACAAACGTGTAACCTAACAGTGTGAATATCTACCCCGGGTAGTTACCCATTTGTCCGCTAAAACCTCATATATCCCATCATTCTTACCTCTGCCGTGTCCTCTGCCACTGCCCTCTTCTTTTTCATGTTTAGTTTATGTCTTTAGCTGATGATATAGATAATGTTCTAGATTCTGAAGCTGTAGTGCTTTCCCTGCTTTGCGATCTCACATGTGCAGAGGGTCAACAAACCTTGCTACCAAGCATGATATTTCTCTGATTGGTGCAAAAGCGGCGGTAGTGACCGCTGATTGGCTCACTCGTCTTTTGCTGTCGCGTCATCCTGTAGCAAGGTAGGTTGCATAGACACACCGTGTATGCTGAAGCACAAGTCACATTTTCACACCGAAAGTTGTTATAAAGTCTAGGCTATATGTATTTTACATACATTTAAAACTTATTACAGGGTTACAGGGTGGATGTTGTTAAAATTTCCCTGACGTTAGTCATTGCCTTTGCAAAACCTTGAAAACAAACATCTGTATATACTGTATACCAATACATATCACAAGCCCTTCAGTCTAAATAATTTTAAACAGGAATGTCTCACTATCTTGTTGTAACCATAAAACTGACCATTGTGCAGGATTAATTACAGGGCTATTGCAATTATGGGATCACTTTAAACTAAATGCACCTTATTATTCTTTTTTATACTATTTATGTTGTATTTTTGTTAATATAATTTAATTTTGCTGGAGAGTGACTGTTATTATTGAGTAAAGGAAAAGGGGTAGGTTTAAAAAAAGCATAATGCTTCATCCTACCCCTTTTCAGACATGTTGGCTTTGCATTATTATTATTAGGTTGATTTATTAAATTATTATTATTATTATTATTATTATTTTATTTCATTTTTATTTGTTTGCTTTGATTATTGTTATTTGTGTTTTGAATATTCTCACTGGTTATGTTTGTTTTCAGTTTACTTTTGGTGTTGCACGTACGTGTTCGAAAATAATAATTAAATAAAATGACCTTAACTTGGCAGAAATGTACATTCTATGTACGTACGCACATATGAACACATGTACAAACTTGTATGTGCACAAAAATACAACATATATAAGATGAGTTCTAAATACTAGTAAATATACTGTGCAATATCCTATGGTTTAATGCTGCAAACTGGTTTTGTATACATGACTGGCTACTCTCTATACTTGAACATAGCTTATCTCTTAAATACTCTGCGATTTGAATAACTTTATTTCTAATCTTCTGCACTTTGTAGGATACTGACTATCATAATTTCTTATTTACCCTAATTTTATTCATACTTTTATTTTTCTTTTATTAGCATTTGTATTTTTAAGAGCAGGTGTAATGACCCAAATTCCCTCCAGGATAAATAAAGTATTCTGATTCTGATTTATGAGTGATAAAAACACATTTTAATTTTACAAATAATAGAGTTTTGAAGATCAAAAGTTGAACTTAAATAAAAACGACATTTACAAAACAGTTCTGACTGAAAAAAATACTCATTCCTACATTGTGCTCAATTTGTAGGCCCCTTGTTAAAACTTCTTCACTGTTTATCGCATCACTTAAACACAAATTCAGAGTATTTCACATTAATCCGTGGTCAGTCCCTTCACCACTACTATTACAGTTCTGTTATAGATAGAACAACAGATAGAGTATAATTTCAATTTGTAGTCAGTTCTCAGTTTCTGAACTGAACCAATGGAGTGATCTGAGATGATTGACCGGTGATAACCTGATCCACTGAAAATAGAGGCAGAGCTGCTTCGCGTTGTATTGGCCTCAAATTGGTGGACTGAGTGAGAGGATTCAATTTAACAGAGTTTATAGCAACCGTGTGAGAATCCAGAATGGAAACACCTTTCGCCAAATCCATTTTTTCTGGCCTAAATAGCCTTGAAGACGCTACCCCTTCCTCTCTTTGTAAAGAAGACATCTTCTTCGGCCGAATATCTGCCTCATTTTTCCTCTGAAAGTTTGCTGACTCATCTTTAGAGCTGCTCAGCAACTCCAGTGAGATTTTTGGCCACTCACTTTTGTGCTTGTTGGATCTTGGTTCAAGTTTGGATAGTCGGCTGGGTTTCGTAGAGAAAGGTTTTGTGGAGTTGTTATCCAGAATCTCAATCTGAGGAAAGGTGAAGTGTCGAGGCAAGCAGGAGGGGTCAAGCTTTGGTATGGGTTTGGGGTCCTTTTGAGAAAATGATTCAGTCATATTGCTAGATGCTGAATTTCTCGCATTTCTACTTCCAGACCTTAAACCCTCTTTCTCTGCTGAGCAGGACAGAGGCGGCAGTAATTCATTTTGGACAGGTTTAGGAGGCGTATTAATCAGCGGAACTTTTTTCCTGTTCATTTTTGGTGGTGGACGAGGTGTAAACACTTCATGATGCTTCTCGGGGAGAGGCCTCCTAGGACTTGTTTGCTCTTCAGATTGCCTCAGGGAGCTTCTTGTTTGGACTGTGTTATGATATTGCTGGTTGGTGCATGGCTCCTTTTGTATCGAGACTTCAGTGTCAGCTTCCTGAAAGAAACAGATAAAGAGTTATAGGGATATAGATGTAGAAATTGTTTGGTATCTGAAGAGAGGAACAATATTTTCAGGGTACCTGTGGCACGGTAGGCTGAGGTCTAGGTGTGGCAACCTTCAAAACAGGTACCCAGGTGTCTGAAATTGATGGCAAAGGTTCTGTGTCTTCTATTTTAGCTGCTTCCCCTGGTCCCTCTCCTCCGACACACAGAATTTGCTGCTCCACAATTTTTGTGAGGAAGCTCTTTGCCCAAGATGCAGAGTAAGGTACCACCTTATGAGCAAAGATTTAAGACAGGTGTTAAAACTATGCATACTTTTGGCATGTGTTGCTCAATTGGATGGAATGAGAATATAGGGGATATATACAGGTAATATAGCTTTTGAGTTTCACCTGTCTTTTGATGTAAACCTTGAAACAGCTGTCCAAGACCTTACTCAACAGTTCCTCCATGATCTCCCCCACTATGTCATCTGAATCCTCTCGGAGCAACAGGTCTGTCCATTGGGTCTTCGTCAAGCATCCTGGGACAATATCTTCTACCTCCACACTCTCTTCTGGAGGTGTGGTAGCTTGGGCAGATGACCCACGTCTACGTTTATCAGCTTGGGTTTTGGCTGCAGAGCGTTGCATCTTGGCTCAGACGCTGGTTTGAAATATGAACAAGCAGAAGTAGAGAAATAAAAACAGGAAAAGGCAACAACATCAGCAGGCCACCTGTTGACAGTGTCCATGTCCAAGTATCATAGACATACAGTGGCACACTCTAGTGGTTATGATTGAAACTTACACTCTTGGTTCTCATACGAGGTTGATGTAAAACTATGGGCTAAATCTCTGAATCTTTACCGTACTCTTACTTTTGAAGGCTCACGAACTTTTCCGGTTTTTCTTCTATGTTTTTTTTTTTCTTTTCAAATTTGGACTATGACGTGGAAATGATTAAGTCAAATGTCTTCATTAAATTCTTTGAAACAAATACATGAAAAATGGCAAACTAAGATAGGCTTATAAGAAGTAAGACACGGTCTAGTAGCCTATTGAAAGTTCACAGAAAATAAAATAAAGATATATCACACCTGTGTTGACCCCTATGAGCCAACAATTTGACATGTACTAGTCCGTTAGATGAAATAATCCATTGTTTGAACGACAAGACGTGTAATTATTCTCCCATAACACAATATTAGACGGGTTATCAGCTTACAGCGAATAAAAACTACTAAAATTAACTATTAAAAAACTATTTAAATACGAATAAAAACTATTAAAACCTTACCTCACCTTCTTCATTGTATTCTTTGCTCAACGGTCGCTCAGCAACATAGCACGCAATGATGACGCAGGACGTACAGGCGACGTTGTCTCTATGGCTGCGGAGGACGCGAAGGTAATCCTGTTGCTAGCAAGAACTATAAATATGCTTTGTTCGGGTTCACTCTATATGTAATAGCCGCTATAAACAGCGCCAAATGGAGGCTAAGCCATTTATTTCACGTTGTAACACGACAGTTCTTCTGTACTAATCTATGGTGGAGTTGCTAACCGTCCTAGCTCACTGCTATAGTTGAGCATTTAGTGTTGCAGTTAACAGTGTGTACCTTCATTACTGCCCGATAACGGTATGTGTGATGTTTTTCTAATCTAGCATATCTTGCTCTGACTAGATACCCTTTGTTTTCCTATAACAGACTTTTCAGATTATCCACAGCCGCTGTAAGGAGAAGACAGCTCGATGTATCACAGAGAGAAGAGCATCCAGATCAAAAACAGCGCCTCGTCGCTGTACAATAACCTGAGTGTGCAGCGCATCGCCCCTCGGCGGCTCACCTACTTCACGGTGGTCCATGCTAACGTGGTGAACATGGTTAGCGCCTCCTGGGATGGCCTCAACTACTCCCATCGGCAGCTGCAGTCTAAGGAGCCAAACGTAGCCACAAGCACCTCACTTATAATGCAGGTGGGGCCCAGGGCTTTACTATATTTGAGTTTGGTAATTATGGACTTGATAATACAAAGTTTCAGCTGGATAAGAACTAGAGAGCGACAACCAAAACACCTAACACAAGTTAAAAAAAATTTATTCAAACATTATAACATCCATTTTGTCTTGTTATTTCTCTTGCTTCTGCATATTGTACTATTGTCTGTCTTGATCACACAAGTATTTAGATCCTTTCTCCCCCTTCTTGTTACAGGCTGCATTTTGTGTTCTGCCCTCTCGTGACCTGCTGGTGGTGACTTCACAGAAAGGCATTCAGGTATGTATCAGTGGTTAGTGATAATCTACACAATTTGAGAAGCCACTGCCATATCTGTAACTTTTATCCATTTACAAGCTATGGACATTTGTCATGAAGGCATTCATTTGACATCCCTCACCTTCAATTTAAATGTTATCTTACAGATGTATGAATCTGATGGCTCCATCATGGTGTACTGGCATGCCCTGGATACTCCAGAAACACCTACAGGTAAACAGTACACCGAGGTGTAGATGCGCTACATATGTATTCATTCAAACTTACAAAGGAATCTGAGTGTAAATATCTTTTTTTGATAGATATGACAAAATACAACTGAAGTGTCCATAATATTCATGGAAATGTGACAGTGCAGCATAGCCAACCTCATAAAACAAACATCATTATAAACAGAATAAGGATCTGATTATATAATAAAATAAAACTTTTCCAGGCTTCTTCATCTTTATTTTTCATACCAGTTTTACCCAAAGATTGTGAGGACATTGTACACACATGAAAAATCTGCACTGTCTGGTTATGAGATACTCTTGGCCTTATTCGCATACTCAATTGCACAGAACTGGGTGAGGAAAAAGTTACTAGTTTAGAGTTTGATTCTAAATACAGTATATTTACAAAATTTTTTTTTTTTTTGGTATCCTAGCTCAGGCCGTGTTTGCTCGAGGGATATCAGCAGTGTGGCAAAATTATATATGCGTTGGTAAGTACAGCAACATACAGTACTCATGCATAAATGTTCATAAGATACAGAGGACGTCTTACAGTGCACTGTTCCTGTCTCTCTCCAGGTGTTTCATCTGGTTCAATTCTAGTCTTTGACATCCCAACTAAAGGCAGTAATATCACCCTGTCTGAGGTCCTAGAAGAGCACAAGGACCCCATCACTGATCTGGCCTCTGAGTGTTCAGGCAGCCAGGTATGACTTCTCTGTGTGTGTACAGGAAAGATTTAGTTTTCTGTGAATGACAGAAAGCTTGATTAAATTCCTTCTTATGTAACAATTCGTGGAGCTTCAACAATTTATGATTGACATAAGCCCATCACTCATGTTACTGTTTGCCTCCTCTCAGGAGTGTATAGCTGATCTGGTCAGTGCAGATGATGTTGGGAATATATGTGTGTGGAAGTCTGGAGAAGAATTTCAGCTGCTCAACAAGATCTCTGGCTTTGAGTAAGAAGCAGTACACGTGTTGTTGTTTTGATTTGCACACTTCAATTAAGATAAAACAGCTTAAATCTTTCCTCTTTATCCATCTTTCATCTTGTCTGTGTTAATCTTCTCCATCCTCCCTACCTTTACCCTTTCCTGTTCCGTTCCACTCTTCTTTGTTTCCTCTTTATAACTCCTCCACACTTTGATCCGATGTCCATTATCTTGTCCTTTTCCACATTGACATTCATCCTCCATCCTCCTCCGTGCTCTTAGTATGACCTGCTCATCTGTCAAGCTATGGAAAGGTACAGTGGTGGCAGGTTACGGCACAGGCCAGATCCGCATTTATGAGGCTGTTACTGGAATTCTGCACGCTGAAATCAACGCCCACGCTCGCTGGATATACTCACTGGACATAGCTCCTTTCTCTGGACTGGTAAGTTTCACCAAACTGTTAGATGAGCAGACAATGAATGATTTTTTCTGACATTTTGTTGTTTTATTTTTTAACGTAATTACCTACTTTTGTGCTTTAGCTTCTTTCTGCAGCCGAGGATTCTCTGGTCAGGGTGTGGCACCTGACACTGACCCCAGAGACCAACAGTGTGGAGGTAATTGGTCTTATAACATTATGCAAAGCTTCTTTTTCCTTGTGCAGTCCAAACACAAGGCAAAACTTTTGCAATAACCTCCCAGATTTAATTCACTGTAACGTATTTACTGACTGTTTTCTTGTTTCACTTTAGGTTGCACATTTGCACAATGAGTGTGTGACAGACACACAAATCTGCGGGGCCAAGTTCTGCGATGGTGATGGTTATGCTTTTGCAGTGACAGGCTATGACCTGAGTGAGATTATTCGCTATACACAGACGTAAATCTCAGAAGGTATGTTGGATGATGTCTGAAAAAACATGATCATGAGAGAATAAGATCAAAAATGACAAAATATGGTCACAGTGAGACACTGCAAGGATTAAGATTTTGGAATTCATGTCTTTTCAAGAAGCAGATTCACAACACTTCTGTATCTATGAGACATAATTTAAAGCCAGTGTGTTAAAGTTTTGATTAACATTTTATGTACAAATGTTCAGATGTATGTGAATGTAGCTGTTAAAGTAATAAAATATTCTATTATTCTTGCCGATATACAGGTTGACCTTTTTTTTGAGAAGCTGTGATTTTAGGCGTGTCATTGCACTACAAAAGTGCACCAGTAGATGTAGCTGTTTGTTAAATTTTTGAAGGCAATGAGGGTGTAGTCTGCAGGAGAGCAGGACCAGGACTGGGTTTTGAACTGCTGACGGATAATTTGAGAAACTTCATGATGTGATTTAACACTGTGTGTGGACCTCAGGACACATAGTTCATATCAAATGGTATTTGAGTGCACATCTACCAGGAGGTCATACACAGTTTTATATTGAACAATGTTTAATGGATCCTTGTGCTCCAGCCCTGTTCTTCCAGCCTGACCCACAGTCAGACAAACTCAGACATAAGGCCAGAGTTATACTTGAATTTTTTTATTCCTAAGTTATGTTTTTTGATAACGTTTCAAGAGATATAGTCAGGACTCAAGGGGTTAATTCAACTTTTTCTTGAATGCCTAAAACGTTTTTATGATGCACCTTATTTAAAAAAAAAAATGCTACAACATAATGTTGAAGGTAAGATTAATCCAGTTCAGTGAGAGTAAAAACAAAAAAGGTCTTGCGTCTATTTTGTGAGACACTGTGGATTTATCTCAGGTTGCAAGTTTCTTTTGGATCACAACAGGTAACCAGGTGTCACTGCAATTCCATTTCCCTTCCCGCTGCAAGATAAGAAGAATCGGGTCAGATAGGATCTGTGTGCTGTTTTTTAGCCGGTCTGGGGCTAAGCGTGTATTAAATCCCAGAGTTCTTTTCTGGTTTGCAGTCAACACTGGTCACATAACATCATCTGACAAGACTGTTGTGAGCCCACACACATGGCAGGTTATGTAACTTATATTTGGTAGGTACCAGCTTACAGTCATGTCAATGCTGATGGCCAGGTCAGATGTAAAGAGTAAACATGCACCCGGTGACATCAACACGCACACAGTTATTATGGAATTAATGATTGTCACAGCGTCATGTTGTCTCATGCCTCTCTGCTGCCTGCCTGGGTGAGGTGGCCAGCTACAGTGGCTGGAGAGGGTCAGTGGAAGAGTAAGCTGTCAATACGAGAGTCCTGAATGACACAATGATTACGTAACAGACTGGAACAGCACAGAGGGAGGGAAAGGTTGGCCAAAAGTGATAAATGGAAAACGAAAAGTGATTGTAAGAGCATGGGAAGTCTGCACCTTTCTATAAGCGTTAGATAAAGAAAAGGCTGAGAGTAGAAAAAGGGAATATGACATCACCCCTCTCAGAAAAACATGAGGAGACAAACAACAGCTCTCATTTATTCCTTGTTAACTAAGTCAATAGTTCTGTGTGATGCTCTGGTCCCACACATGGCCTTAGGGCCACTCATGCTGCGCAATGCTACAATACTGGTCAGCTGTTAGGTGTAACAAACACACAGTGCAGAGAAGGTCAGATCCCAACAGGAAATATTTCAGACATGGATTTAAATCTATACAGAACGTGTGTTGTTCTTATAGAAGAAACAGTTTTGCATAGTTCTTGTCCCAGTCTCAGCCAAAGTGGACTTTTAAATTGACTTTTAAGTCTAGTCTGAGGATCACTACTGCATGGATAGAACCAAATCACATTCATAATGTCTACAGCTGTATGCAGAACATCCTGCAAAATGCAAACTTTTACTTAAAGCTCCTGTGGGGAGTTTTTTGATGTTAATAAAATTGACTAAAATTCGGACTGATGCAGTTTTATAACACACAAAGACAAAGTGGACCAAAAGGGACTAGATTGAAACATTTTATACTGTTAACTAAGGCCTGAACCTGGAATAAGGGGGTATGTGTCAGTCAAAGAAGAGTGAAGAGACAGCCATGTTTTTATCATTTCCATGTAGACTGTTTGTAATTAATTATACAGTTGACAGTCTAAAGTCAGAATGAAGAGTTTCTTTTGTCAGAAGACTCTACTTCAGCATCTTGAGGACTTGAGAAGCAAAGACAACTTCATCCACAGGCGGCGCCAAAATTAACACAAACTTGAAGTTCTTCACAAGAGCTTTAAAATATTTCTGATTTATTTTTTTGAATTTATTTTAGTAGCATCACATTTTTTTAAAGTGGGTATGGGAATCTGTTGCATGTATCATGTGACTAGAAATGGTTTGGCACTAGACACACCTTGATCTCAACTCTTGTAAGTATCAGTCTTGTCTTTATTTCAGCACTCTTGTTCAGGACTTGTCTTGGTGTTTCTATATATACATGTTTGTACTTTTATGGTTATGGGTTTCCATAACCATAACCATCATATGGTTATGATGTTCTCTATCATATTTCCGAATATATTTCAAAGTCTGTCTTTAACAAAGACGGCGAAAAACAAAACTGACCATTTTGTTAAAAAGCTGTCCAGCTAATAAGCCATGTGTCACATTCTGACCTATTAAAGCTAATGACAAACCAGACAAGTTTGTTCAGTGCACATACAAAACACTAGTTGGGTATCGACCAAGCCCGGATTGTCAAATGCCACGCCACAATACCAGCTCATCCATCAGTTATAACCTTTTGTTATTGTGTGAAGCACGGTGGCTGTTTTTGTGTTGGTGTACCAACCTAGCATGAATATCTGTTACAGCTATTTGTTTGTTTGTCAGCTCATTATTTTACCGTAGGCAGAGCAATTTATCCCATGCCCATTCAGCCTTGTGGCAGACGCCTTGGCCTGAGTTTGCTCTTAAGCCCGACAGGGATAGGGCCTCACCGGGGGGGATAAGGAGCCTAAAGACCCTCCAGCCTGCTTCCACAGACACACTAACCCTCCAATGGAGAAACCAGGAAACAGACTCCTGTAGACACGCTGTATAAATAGATCGTCTGATTTAATCGCACTGAAATAGGAGGTAGAGGGATAAAAAAACTGACAGACCAGAAAAGCTGCCTTTGCTGAAAGATGCAAATCACAACAAGGTCAAATTGCAAGTGATCCCCAGGAAGTATTTGCTCATTTGGTTGTGTATGGGGAATTGGCATTGGTACTCTATCCTAAAAGCTGCTGAGATCTCAAGTCTTCTCAGTCTTTGTGAGATATTCCCTGACTTAGCATGGGTGCAGTGACTGATTTTTGGCCAATTTTGAGCAGAAATGAGTCATGAACTTTACATCCATGTATTATCAACCTTTCCAGGCAGGAAAAGCTCCCATATGGATCAGCTTGGCCTGTGTCTATGGTTTAGTTGTGAGCTAGTGGTGTCCAGTAGAATTTCCAAACTTTTTGTTCGAAACTGTTTCTAAATCAGCCATGGGAGGAAACCCTACAAGGAAAGTTTTAGACAAGAGTCAAAAAAACTTAAAGGGATATTCCGGTGTAAAATTAATTTGGGGTCAAATACACCGTAACAACGAGTTAGACACCCCCCGAGAGATGAATGTTGCAGACCGCTTGCTTCTCTAGTTTTACCAACTTAAGTAACGACCGCACGATAGCAATACACAGCGGTCTGAGGAGTCATAAACAAACCTCAACCAATACGCCACTCTATGGCCACAAATAATGTTCAGAACAGCACCTAACTTCATCAACAGTACATATAGGGTCCCAGCCATAGCACTAGCCAACAAACATCTTTGTAACTATGCCTGATTTCTTCAGCAAAGAGACTAAACACAACTCACCTACTCTCTTCCAGCAGCCGCTTGTTTGTAGCAAGACCTCAGGCCAGTCCATTACGGACTGCTGCGGGGTGACGCAGCTCAAGGAAGAGCAGCAATGGAATATCCCTTTAATGAATCAGTTATGGACAGCTAAATAATCAGCTGAAAGCTCCCTTCTGTCACATTATCACAATGTTTGATTGTTCTTGCAATGTTGTTTTGCTAAGAGATTATTTTTGAGTTACGGTACAGGTACAGTTGCTTCAAAGGGACCATTTCTCTGTTCTTAGACGTACAATGTCAAAAACACTATTTTAAAAACAAACTCTCACCATGCGTATAGAAAAAAATCATATATATAACAGACATAATTAAGTGCCTAAGCATCATTCAATTCTGTGCAATCATGAACCTATAGAGATGGCTAACACATACGACTCACACGGTTGATTAGTGTGCCGCAAATTATGCAGAAACACTCCTGGTATGATGGCAGGTGGAACAGGTTAAGTAGAGGAGAGAAAGGGCGTGTATGTAAATCATTATTCTGTCATGATGATTATGATAAGAGGAATGTGGAGTGTCTGAAGGGGCCTGGTGACTTAGGGAGTTCATCCAGTATGCAACCATGCAGCACTGATTAAAACAGGTGGATGTCGATGTGGCTGCGTAGATTTATTTCATTACTACAACTAGATTAAAGTTAAGCTGTGCCAACCGGCCCATCTGTGAATCACAGCTTCCGGGCAATATTAGGCTCTATCATGGAAAACCATGACTGCAGATGTCATTTCAGGACAGTCCAAACATCCTGTGGGGCTTATGAACTGGAGGAAATGACTCAGTTTACAAGGAATACCAACTTACTGATCTGTGGACTTCTCTGGAAAACAAGTTTAAAGGTGGGACTGGGGATACTATCCTAAATGAAAGGGCTATATTGAATTTTAAGATTTTATGTTTTCAGGTTTTGAATTTCAGAAGAGTGTAGGTATGTTGATTCGAAGTAGGATTAAAAGTATGGTTTCCAGGATTGAGTTTTTTGGTCACAATACAAGCTGGACTGCATCAAAAAGTAAATATCGCCATCATGCTCTGTGGATCTCATTTCATGGCCCTGCGTTTGGCATTTTGGTTGCTGCAGCTCTGTTTTTGTTGTAGCCGGAGGTGTCAATTATTGGTAGAGGGGTGGATATGCATGACCAGGATTCTATGGCAGTCATAGAAATGCAGTTATATGTTGGCACACCCAGTTTTATGGTCAAGTTTACTCGAAATAGACCCATATGAATAAAAAAATAAAAAATAAATTGTATTCAATCATACTTTGAGGGGTTTTGAGCAAAACCTCAATATGATACACAAACTTAAACAGGATAATCCATGTAAAGTGATCATTTTATAGTGATTTTGTAATGTTACACAGTGATTGCTGCTCACGGACACGAGGTGCCTTTATTTACTGTTTCCATTTCAGAGACAAAGTGAGTGATTGGTTTGGCTCTATTTGTCTGTATCTGTTTTTTGGTCTGCTTGTACAAGAACATAGCATTAGTTCCACATGACTGCCAAAATCATCACAGATCTTCAGTTCTTAAAAGTACTTTGAGATGATTCACTCAAATTGCGTCATTACAAATAAAAAACAAAAGTAAACTTTGCTCCATATTTTCAGTTACAGCCTATCAAAAAAAGTCTCCAG